GAAATAAATTCTGTTTTTGTGAGCGTATCAGGCTTTGTGACAAGCAACAGGGACATGCAGGGTGACAGGAGACAGGCTGTAGGTTTCCCTGTCACGTCACACACACACACACACACACACACACACACACACACACATACGTGTTTTTATGGGTTTGTGTGGACTACGTTTTCTGAGTTGTTTGTCTGGACCCTGGCTTCCACTATAGCCAGAATGGTGCAAAAATTATGTTTAACTCTAGGTGGGACAAAGGAAGCTTCCTCTAGGATTTTGGTTGTGTGGACCGGGTAAATGTCCACACAATGGTGAATGTCCACACAATGTTGGTCTACCGTCAGGGGTTGGTCCACACAAACCCATAAAGACAAGTGCACACACACACACACACACACACACACACACACACACACACACACACACACAGTGTGGATGGCAAGGGCGATGTGGTTCAAACAGCCATCAAGTGGGATCTGGATACTACCCCAAAAACAAGAAAACAACATATGGATCCATGAAAAGTCTGATATGACCCACAAGAGAGCGAGCACCAAGCAGGCCTTGAGCTTCACCAGCTCACTACTTCAGTTATGACACCACAGACATTTTCTCTGCAGAGGTTCAGCCAGAGCAGGATGAAGGTGATCACGGCTCTCCAACAGAGGAGGGAGAAAAGCTTTCTGGTCTTCATGAACTGGGCCAGGTGAGCTCATGAGCAGATGAAGAACAGGTGAGTGGAGTAAAAGTGATCACAGAAAACCTCTAAAGAAAAACTAACAACTGGGAATCACTTTCAAAGCAGAAGACAAAACCCACAGGAGGCCAAACATCATAAGCTAAACAGGGATGGAAACCGTCTGCCACTGAAGTGAGCTGTAGATGCCAGAAGAGTTTATTTTTAGCAACCAGAGCTTTTTTTCCTGAGCAGCATAACCTTCCAGAGCCTTATCAAACCTAGGCTGATATTCATGAATGAGAGCAGATGTCATTCAGCTTACTCAGAATCCCAGTGGGTGTCCTAGCATGGTGTTCTAGAGTCCCCCCCCCCCCCCCCCCCCCCCACACACACACACACACACACAGCCCATCTCTTAATAAAATGTGTAGAAACAGAAGAGGTGGATGCCAGTGAGGTAGACATTTCATTTTGTTACACACACGCACGTGCACACACGCACGCACGCACACACGCACACACACACACACACCAGAACCGTGGAAAGCTCTGCAACATCTTGATGACAGGGCTCTGGGTGCAACACTGGCGAGCTGCTGGCTTGAATCAGCCGCTGGTGGGTGGCTGCTGAACAGACGATGTCACATTAGAGCCATATGGTACCAGCCATGGACTGGACCAGAAAGGTCATTTGCATTAGTCATAGTTACTCATAGTTGTAGCCCACTCATGAAAATATCAGTCACTGAGTCAAAGTCTCACTGCTAGCCTGGAGGTTGGACTCATACAGTGCTGTGAAAAGGTATTTGGTCCCTTGCAAATGTCTTCTGTTTTGCTGCCACACCTACATGTTCCAGATCAGCAAACACATTTCAACACAAGTAAAGGCTAATCTGAGTCACCCTATACCTAAGGCTCAGCCACTCTGCAGATAACTATTTTTGTCTGCCTGTGTTCAGTCTTTTTTCTTTAGTCATTACCCAAAGCTAAAGACCGTAGATGACTGCTGGAATTAAGGCCCTGTCCACACGTAGCTGGGGATCTGCCAAAACGTAGATATTTTTCTACGTTTTGGCCTGTCATCCACATGAAAACGGATCTTTTTAAAAACTCCGGCCAAAGTGAAGATCTGCGTTATCTCCGTGTTGGGTGTCTGCGTGTGGACAGACAAAACTGGAGTTTTAAGGTCCCCATCGTCACTTTCCGCGACAAAAAAATGCTGACATCACGTGTGCGACCTGTGTTTACACTAGCTGACAGCATGGATGCCCTCAGAGCTGCGCTCGCTTTATCAATTGTCCAAGCGCTTTTTGCTTGTTTGCTTTTGCAAGCGGAATTACTGCTCCTTGCAGAAGACCACAGACGAAGGACGAGGTTAAGAACGGGGGAAGTACTGCCGCCTACAGGTCTGGCATGTCCTTAACAACGTATTTATCCGGGTACGTGTGGACAGAGTTTTTTTAAAACGAGGTGGTGTGGATGCAAGTTTTTGGAGGGGCGGATATTTGTTTTTAAAAAACCCCAGCTACGTGTGGACTAGGCCTAAGACGGGCACTTGTGACTTGTGTTCACAATGATTCTCTTGTTTTTACAAGCTCAATCACTGCTATATGCTATAATACCACGCCGGTTATTGCCACCAGTTATTCCACTTCCAGAGAATGTTTTTGGATAAAGATGCAGACATTTTGGGGAACTACTGCCACCTACAGGCTTGACATGTCTATGAATGTGCTTTTTGTTCGGTTTTTGCTGAAAATGATTGGCTATGGATCCTAGATCTTTTTCCCCTAGATAGGTGGGGGAGAAAATTTGATATTACAAAAACTTGGCCACCTGGTCTTAACGACCCTTAACAAAGGACTGTCCACCCCATCGTCCTCAAGAGGAACTTGTCTTGTGAAACTAACAAGGTACCAAAATCACTTTCTTAAAGAAACCAAGAAACCATTTTTTACTTATTATTTTTGAATAATAAGTAGCGGAGGGCCTTCTCCTTTTCAGAGCAGCTCCAAAGGCATCAGGTAGCCCAAGATACCTGAGATCCCAACCCAACAGCCAGCCACCTACCATGACACAGCACAATCCAGGGCCTCAGAGGAGCTTGTTGACCACCTCAGTGTCCTCAGCACCAGAGATTGGAGAGCCCAACTCAAAGTCCCTAGACGCTGCTTCCTCACTGGAAGACGTGCCGGAGGGATTTGGAGGTCTTTGAAGTATTCTGCCCACGATCCAAAACATCCCGAGCAGAGGTCAGCAGCGCACCGTCCCCTCTATTAACAGTGTTGGTAGGGCACTGCTTTCCCCTCCTGAAGCACCGGATGGTGGACCAGAATCTCCTCAAAGCCGTACGGGAGTCTTGCTCCATGGTCTCACTGAACTCCTCCCATGCTCGGGTTTTTGCCTTGGCGACCACCCGAGCCACATTCCGCTTGGACTGCCAGTACCTATCAGCTGCCTCTGGAGCCCATATCAGGTGAAAAATCCTGATAGGACTCTTTCTTCAGTTTGACAGCCTCCCTGACTGCCGGTGTCCACCAGTGGGTTTGGGGTTGCCGCCACGACAGGCACCAACGATCCTGTGACCACAGCGCCAGTCGGCCGCCTCAACAATGGAGGCACAGCACAGGGTCCATTTGGACCCAATGTCCTCCGCCTTCCCGGAACAATTTGGAAGTTCTGTCGGAGGTGGGAATTGAAACTTATTCTGACAGGAGACTCTGACAGACGTTCCCAGCAGACCCTCACATTCCATTTGGGGCTGCCAGGTCTGATCGGCATCCTCCCCCACCATCGGAGCTCACACCAGGTAGTGGTCAGTTGACATGCAACATGCTTTTGGAGACTCGGAACCCCATTATTTTATTAATATGCTGTGGGTGTTCTTATAATCATGTGCCACACACACACACACACACACACACACACACACACACACACACACACACACACACACACACACACACACACACACACACACACACACACACACAGTGATTGGAAAGTTGCAGGTTCGATCCTGGTGCCGACCAGAGAATGCTACTGTTACACTTAACCTGCCTTATCTGCTGGTGGTGGTCAGAAGGACCGCTTCTGTCAGTGCACTGCAGCGCAGCTGTAGCTACATCATAGCTCATCATCGCTAGCGTATGAGTGGGTGAATGACGGATTGTGTTGTGAAGTGCCTAGGGGGATTTTAGAACCCTAGGAAAGTGCTATACACATACAGGCCATTTACCATTCACCTCTAACTTAAAATGTTGTTGCACAACATTTTGAGGAAATCACTGCAATCAAGTGATTTCTGCAATTGTCAACAAGACTTCTGCATCTCTCAGCAGGTATTTTGGCCCACTCCTCCTGAACAAACTGTTCCAGTTGTCTCAGGTTTGAAGGAAGCTTTTTCCAGACGACATGTTTCAGCTCCTTCCAAAGAGGCTCTACAGGATTGAGGTCAGGACTCAAAGAAGGCCACTTTAGAATAGTCCAGTGGTTTCCTCTTAGCCATTCCTGGGTGTATCTAGCTGTGTTTTGGATCATTGTCCTGTTGCAAGACCCATGACCTGTGACCTATGACCTGTGACTGAGACTAAGCTTTCTGACACTGGCCAGCACATTTCCTTGACAGTCGTGAGATGTCATCGTACCCTGTACATATTCAAGACTCCCTGTGCCAGATGCAGCAAAGCAGCCCCAGAACATAACAGAGCCTCCTCCATGCTTCACAGTAGGGACAGAGTTCTTTTCATGTTTCCATCTGTGAACACTTGGTTCCATCTTTGTCTCATCTGTCCATAGGCCATTCTGCCAGAAGCTTTGTGGCTTGTCAACATGTAGTTTGGCTTAGTCCTGTCTAGCTTTGTATGATTTGTTTCCAACGATGGTGTCCTCCTTGGTCGTCTCCATGTAGTCCACCTCGGCTCAAACAATGACAGATGGTATGATCTGGCACTGATGTTCCTTGAGCTTGAAGCTCACCTTGGATCTCTTTAGATGCTTTACTGGGCTCTTTTGTCACCATTTGGATTAGCCGTCTCTTAGATTTGTCATCAGTTTTCCTCCTGCGGCCACGTCCAGGGAGGTTGGCTACAGTCCCATGGATCTTACATGTCTGAATAACATGCAGCTGTAGTCACAGGAACATCTAGCTGCTTGGAGATGGTCTTAAAGCCTTTCTCTTTAACATGCTTGTCTATAATTTCCTTTCTAAGACAACTTTCTCCTTCACTTCCTCTGGTCCTTGTTGAGTGTGGTACACCATGTCACCTAACAACGCAGTGACTACCTGTGACTGTATTAAGTTCATAGTTTAATAACACACACAGTCTTAAAAAATGTAAATATTTTAATAAATAAAAATGACTGTAATATACACCATTCAGTACAACTACAGCAAGCATACCAAGATAGTTCACTGACAAATTTAGTTGCCTTCAATTTTCAGGGAAGAGTGGTTTACAATAGCCATACATTCTTGTTAGTGTTGTGCAATTGTGCAAAAACAAATATAAAAGCATCATGAGCACTTCTCAGTCATAGAACATTTACAACTGAAAGGTTTGAAACATGTGAACTTTAGACTTCTATGAAGATGTTTTTGAGGTACAGAGTTGTCTATGTCAAAAACAACAACAGACATTTTGTTTTCGATACATCTCAGGAAGACAGAACAGTCGAGACAGATTTAGTTTGTTCCTCTTCTACTTGTATTGCATTCCCTACAAACAAACAAGAAAACAATAGCTTGATGAAAAGTAAACCTGAAAGAAGAAACTAACCCGTAAAAATATAGATTTGATCAGATCGTACCACGTTTGATGCTTTCTCTGGGCTGCACCCATCAGTGGCTCAAAAGTAGTTCAGTTTCAGGAGAGACATTGGAACTTTCAAAGTCTACTATAAACCATGTTCACAAAGAAACTCTTGTTTCTTTGACTTGTAAGAAAAACTATGAAGAATTTAAATGCCTAATATCAAAAGTTGTTATGAACCCATCAACAATCTGTAAATACTATTAGCAACCATCAACATGGTTTAACTTGACACACTGCCCAAAAACTATCTATATTATAATAAATATCCTTTCAGTGTTCTTCAGTTTAGAATCTTCTCCGCTAAATGTTGATGTCAATGATTGATGAGTTCCCTGAAAAAGCAGCAGACAAATGAAAATGAAAATAATCCAGACTCAGTTTAGCACATCCGGTCTACTGACTGACCCAACAGTGACCTACGGTACAGTACAAGATTTTGTAGCTACATTTTGCCTGAAGCAAGAAACTAAAAGCACCACAGATGTTCTGTTTAAATAGCACCAGTTGTCAAAATGTAAATCATCTTTTCTATGTTTTGTGTGTTTGATAGACTTTTTTTTTTTGGCAATTTTCAGCATTGAATCAAGTGCTTGGAGTAACATTTAGCGGCTGCTGCAATGCTCACCTCGACCTCCGAGCAAAAGGCCAAAACAGATTCACGTTGAGCTGTAATTTGCAACTAAAATGATGGATATCTGGATAATTCTCCTTATGTCTGCATCTAGAAGCACTGCATCTGGTACTGAACTAACATGAACGTAACAGCACAAGCATAATAACAGCAGTTTGTTCATTCCAGTCATTTCAAACACCACAGCTGTAAGTACGCAAAAGAATCAAAACAAACAAGCAGGGTGTTAGGACAATGGTACATAACCGTATGTATATATGCACGTGTGCATGCATACATACGTGCATATATATAAACAATAATGTATCATTATGATTAGTCATATAATGCAGGTCACAAACATACACAGTGAAGAACAGGTAGGTGCACCTCTGCCATTTATACATAGTTAAAAAACTCAACTATTTATATAGTTTGAGAACAAATTCTGCAGTACTATAGTAGCACGTAAGAAAGTAATCTAAAAATAATGTAATATTTACTGATACAGTCTTGAAAGTAAGTACAGTCCTCTGTGCGTGCGTTTATAAATAAATAGATATGTTATATAAATAAATATTTTATATCTATATATCGTTGATATTCTCATCTGAAACTGATATGACATGAAATGCTGCTGTAGACTAATGTCTAGCATTTAGTTATTACTCAGGTACATTCTAGAGACGGGTCACATCATGTTAGAGCGTGTTAACGAAGGTAAAACCACTTCTATGTTCTTCAGATTAGCTACGTTCTCTCAGATTTATCTCTACAAATTATATTTATAATTATATCACAATGCTCATTTGAGATATTATTTACAGCGTCAAAGATTTTTTCTTTCTTCTGCAAGTAAATTTGTACATTTAAAGCTGAACAGTCTTGATACAATATCAGGTGTTCTGTCCATCCTACAGGATGCAACTATTGCGTCACCAGACTCAGCTTTAGTTTGGATCTTGTGTATTTCCTGCTGTCCTTCCATTCAGGTGTCCATAAACAGCTTGTTTACCTGCCTGCTGAATCTCACCACAATCTTTTAGTCAGGTTAAGTCTGATTTGAATCAAAATTAAGTAAAGTGCAGAAGAAAACTAATATACAGATAAAAGTATAATACAGAATTCTAGGCGTTCAGGTAAATGAGAAAAAAAAAACAATGCTAACTGTCTCATTCTGCTGTACGGTTTTGTTTACTGGAAGGATCAGTCGGCATCAAATCATAGTTTAATTAGCACCTCTGACTTTCTCTATTTGACACCATTGCTGGTGGGACGGCGAAACGTGCTGACGCCGTTCCTTTGGATCCAGTCCTTCATTAGTGTCTGTGGTTTCATGGTAGATTTATCACTAATGAGATCCTCTTGATTCGTTTTCACACAAGTTATGAAGTTAGCTTAAGAAGCTGTGACAATATTGCGGGTTTAGTTAGTTTTACTATACATTTTGTTTCAGCGCATAGCCTGAGACACATCTGATCATAGATCATAGATCAGATGTGTCTCAGATATTGTGGTTTTATTTCTGCTCATGTTTATGAAGAAAAGGGACATTTTTGACCACAGCTTTGTTGAATTGATATGAATAAAACATGCATTTTTGTCTAAGATTTAAATCAGATTTGAAACTTGAAAACTGCTCCTTCAGTCAGCGGGCATTTTGGAAACATTGGCCAGCAGACACATTTCTATCAGTCAAACGTGGTTTCCAAATGCCATGCTGGTGTGGCAGGCTGAAACCACCATTAAAATCAGAAATAAACACACACACACACACACACACACACACACACACACATGCCAAACCCCATAAGTGCTAACACCAGAGTTACCATCTTTGCAGTGAATATGCTTTGTGAGGGAACTGAGCACCTTGAGTTAAACTGAAACAGGAAAACATGGATTTCTGTGCTGATTGAAGAATGCAGCAGCTGTTGGTGCAGTGCATAATTCAGCTCAGTTATGGCACCTTCGTTACTCATGAAGTCAGAAATGTAAAACGAGTCAACATACCCAAAGTGAACATCTGAGCCAAACCATTCCTTGTTGCTGATATATTTAAAATGACTGAATTTGAGAAATTCCATCATAAAAACAACCCTAAAAAAATACAACGCACACACACACACACACACACACACACACACACACACACACACACACACACACACACACACACACACACACACACACACGTTGCTCTTCCAGGGTTTGAGTAAATAAATATAACATACTATGGCACAAAATAGAAATGTGTATCAGATTTTATAGGTTGTCTTTCAACACAACCCAAATCGAAGAAAAGGAGATAAAAAAAATCATGGAAGTAAACCAAGATTTTGCTCCAGTGCAAATGAGGGAAACATTAAAGGTGCGGTCTGACATGTTTTTGTACAGCGTGTTTTGCCATATTGTTTAAAATGGCAACCAGTAATTTAAATGCTTCATCAAAAATGGAATAACTGAATCACCTCTGAGACGTACAGTCCTTGAAAAACTCATCCAAAGGGAGTGGGAGGATGTTCGGTCCAGAGTTGGTTCTGGACGCTTTGACCTGAAGGGTAATTCTAGCGCATGTGTGTCGCAAGCCGGTGTTTTCTGCAACCATCAATTCCGTGACTCTAGAGGGGAGCCTGAAAAATGTGTTGGAATTATTATAATTTATTTTCAAAATGCAGCTTGCTTGAACTGCTTTTCCAGAAACGTCGACTGCACCTTTAAGCTCAAGAGAACTGAAATGGCAACAAACAAAAACTACAATATTTTGCAGCTGAATCCCAACTTTTGTGTGCAATCAAACGCCAAACTCACTGCTGCATTTTCAGTAAAAAAAATAAATGAAAATGTTTTCTTCTTGCAACAGAGCTTCATTCTGCAAGTTACATACATTTCTTTAGCAAACAATGAACATTTAAAAAATGAGAGAATTTTTAAATGTAAGTGAAAGAAAGCTGTTCAGCAGGCTGAGGTGGTTGTGTGGTCTCGTGTCCTGTGCTCTCTGAGGTAGGAAGTAAGAACACCCATATAGACAAGACGTGTCTCTGCTGGAGGTTCCTGTACTTGGACTGAAGATTTTTATTTGAAAAGCAAAAGAAAAATAAATAAAATAATAGTAATAATAAGGTGGCTTAGGGGAAACAGCTGTCCGCTCCGTTCATGTAAATTTAAGGTTTTGCACTGGAGGAAAAATTTTGGAAAAGTCACTTTTCACAGGAAAAAGTTTGGTATTTAAAAACGTATAAAAGGGGAAAACAAACCGATTTATTAACATGTGGAGAACACGGTTATGTCTTTAGTCATCCTTAAAAGCACCAGTTGTCCACATCAGCCAGATTACGGCAGAACCTGTTGTAGAACCACTACTTCGCTTTGGGAGGCCCATCCCATTCACCATTTCCATTACCAGTAATGAAACATCGCTGTCAGACCGTGCATCTCCTTTTGAGGACGTAACCGTGTCACAAGACATGACTCGTGTAAAAGATCCAAATGATGACTCATGAGATAAAATGTTTTAGCCTGACAGAGATGAAAATAAGACGATTATAATTCCAATTTTTAACTTACCAGAAAAGCAAATGAATAAATCTCATAAATCATATATATATATATATATATATATATATATATTTAGTTTGTATCACAAGATCAACAGTGTTGTTAAATAAAAACAGCATCCTAATGCAAACTGAACTCAACAAGGGGTGAAGCTTTAGAACACATTAGATGGGATTTCGCTATAGTAATATTGTGTGTCTGGTAATATTTAAATGGAGCAATCTTCAGGTTTTTTCCAACTGTACTGTAGCTGAACTAATGTGGAATGGAAATGGGACTCAATCACTGGCTTGGTTTTGTCTCCAAATGCTTTTAAAGAAAGGTGGCATGATCTAGGTCCATGTTGTCCACGCTAGCTAAAATGGCCCTCTGGTCCTCCTCAGGGGGACGGCGGTACAGCAAAGCAGAAAAGCGAGTATAGGGATCGTGGAGAATGGGTCGTTTTCTCTTCTTGCGGAGGTAGAGCGCTTCTTCGGGCTGGAGTACCTGAGAGGTGTAGGCCTGCTGGGTCTGAGAGGTGGAGACACCTGAAGTAGGACAGACGGGGTTTTACTCACTAGTCTTTACACCGGGCCAGTGGCTCACATATGAGAGTTTAGACTCTGTTCTGCGTTTAAAGCTGCACCCCCTCCTGGGGAGCTCTGGGCCCTTCCCAAACACACAACCATGGCCTCGGGCTATGTGGGGTAACTTATCCTGTTGCTTTACCTTTAGATATAAAAAAATATACTCAGAGTCCACTGGAAGGTCAAAACTCATCCAGGTGATAAAAAAGAATAGAAAAGATCTTACCTGTTGTAGATAACTCTTTAAACAACCTCAGTTTGAAGAAAGAGACATTAAAACAGACTGGATACACAACTAAAGGATAGTTGTTGCCAAACTCAAAGAAAAGCAGGCCCTTCCCTCCTACAACTTTGTTGTCCTTGTCTGCATGCAAAATATCTTGGTCATATTAAGTTTTAAACTCATGTGAAACTGGGGATTAAGTACAAGTAAGCGCTATATATACACTATTTGTTCAAGTACTTCAATGTACTTTCAAAGTACAAGAAAGGGGAAATATTATAAAAACACAAATTTAAATGCTTTGCAGCCATGTGGGTCTCTACTGCCTCTGTTAACACTCACATCCCATCTGTTTTCTGTCAGTTTGGTTTCAGGAATTATTTGCTTCTATAAGCTGTTTGAAAACCACCCTTAATGTGATGTCACATGGGAACTTAGTTCTGAACCCCCTCTCACCTGTGGAAACTTGGGGAGGCTTCTGCTCTGGACGTGGAGGAACAGCAGCAGTTCTACTCTGAGACCTTCATAGCAGCTAATCACATTATGGGTGGGTGTGGCCAGTAAAAGCTTATGTCCATTAAAGGTGAAGTATGTAAGAATATAGTGAGAATTTTACAGTGAGAAAATCCCAAAAGAGTCTAACGTTTCAGTCATTTTGGAAAGTAGGTTCTACAGAAACATGTTTCATATTCAGCTGGCTGCTGGATTGTCAGTTTTTCTCCTTTCAAAACAAAGGAAGAAGTGACGTAACGACTGTTTACCATCAGTGAGTGTGGGGTTGCCATGTCTCCTGTGAGTTAACACTAAAAATAGTAATTTTATGACGGCAGTCAAAAAGCTCCAGAGTTGCTTAAAGTGGTTGCAGTAACCAAATTCTACCACAGGATGTGATTTTACCTTAATTTTTACATAATGCACCTTTAAAGTGACAGAGCCCTGAAATGGCTCATTCTGGAATGAATTGAAAGTGCCAAGAATAGAGCGGGTGAGATTGCTTTATGATAGGAGTATCCCAAAAGGGAATTCTAGCTTTGTCAAAAGAAAAGAGCTCAGTTAATCCGGTTTCAACTTTCCGCAGATTTAAGGGAGCCAAATTTAAGACTTTTTAAGACCTTTTTTGAGGCCACTTTGACCAAATTAAAGAATTTTTTTAAATTAAATTTATGCTATAATTTCCTGCTATTGCCTGGAACCGGTCCTAACCATGTTGCAATGTGGGATTAGCCATCCAGTTACCATTAAACTTGCATTTCCCCTTGGCGCAAGCTCCCACTAGCTTAACCAGCTAATGTGCTCATTTAAAAATAGCCCCCTTTCACAACCAACTGAATGTGTACGGTTCCACTTACGCCAACATCATACACAAAAAATGCTGAACACTAACTAGAAATTCACGAAAATTTTACAGAAATAAAATAATTTTGTTTATTGGGTCTTTGGTAATTTAAGACCTTTGGAAACTGTACTTAAGGATTATTTGTCATTTTTAAGGATTTTTAAGGCCTTAAATTTGGAAAAGCAAATTTAAGACTTTTTAAGACTTTTTAAGGGCCCGCGGATACCCTGTAGAATGCAGCTTTTACTCTTATTCCTAACAGCTTAACATCTTGCATGTGGTTCATCACAATGAGAGGTTCAGTCATATTACTCTGTAGACCACCGGCTGCTGATGAGAGGATTTCTCCTGTCAGTGTGGAAGGAACAGGTGAGCTGCTGCCAACAAGCTTTAGCTCTTAGAAACACTTTCTTTGCCCACACTAGCGACCTGTTTTTTATAATTTGTAATTAATATCAAGTGAATGCACTAAACCCAAAGATGATGGAAAATAAGATTAAATAAGCCTGAATACTTTCTCCCACAGCTCAGCTCTGATATAAGCAGATGTCTGCTTAAGCTGGACAATGTCAAATATAAAAAGTGTTCACAGAAAACTGATCTTTTAATGAAAAAGAATATTAATCATTTTTCATTTTAATGTTGATTTTATTTCATTTCTAAGGTTTGGATGTCTGTGAACCTTACTGAATATTCTGGCTGGTGTAAAGAACACATGATATTATTGTTAACAGGTCTGGATCTAAAGCGGGTCAGTCTGAGGTATAAAACTCTGCCCTGGGCCTAAAGCCCTGCAGATAGATTTAGTTTCTATAAACAACAACAACAAATAAACAACAGCAGCTAGACTCTACTCTGTTCCTTAAATTGAGTCACATAGTTTTGCAAGTTTTGCACGATCACACATTCAGTAGCAGCTCTGCCAGCTGATTGGTTATTTTAGTAACTTGTGACATCAGTACAGTTCTGGTACTGAGCAGCATGGATGCATCAGAGGATTTTGCTGTAGTCGGTGCTCAAAATGAATTAAGACAGGGCAGGATAAATAATCAATCAAATATATTATTATAATGCTGTGAACATGTGTAGAGACTTTATCATACATTCTCACCAGCCTGTAACTCTACTTTTTTCTCTGAATGCACCAGACTGATGCTTTTCAATATAAAATGTCCACAATTTTCTTCTGGGGGGCCATGCCCCTGGACCCCTTTAAATTGGTTTGATACTTATCACCTTTTTCACCTCTGATCTTTTTCATGTCTGCTCTTTGGTGCTGATGCACACCTTGTGGTGGAATAAAAACTGGACTCATAGAAATCTCAACACCCACACTTTAAAAAAGCTTGCTACGCCCCTGGTGTTGCAGTTGCAAGCTTTGTCCAGTTGGCTCCGCCACAGGACAAGCACCAGGACTCCGCATTATGGTTACGTCCTGCTTCTGAGACTCCCTCCAGATGTGATTAATTTTACCATTGATGACTCGACCAGTCACAGGGGACTGATTCTTACTTAAAGGTGCATAATGTAAGAATGAAAAATAACAGCCTGTGGTCAAATGTGGGTACTGCAGGGCAATTTTTATGAACAAAAAGTTTTTTTTAAACAATTCTGGATTTCCTGCTGATGTGGAATTACAAATGCCAGTGCTGCAGCAATAATTTGGTGTGGACTCTGCAAGCTCACGGGCTCACAGATTGTAAGCAGTAACCACATCCCTCTTGAATTTTTTTGAAAGGAGAAAAAAAACAGCTGACTGTAAAGGAAATTTGTTTCAGTGAGTTCTTCTGTGTTGTGAAGATGCTAATGAAAAGGGTTAGCTTCTACTAGCCAAGACATGCTCTGTTCTCTCCTGGACGCTAAGTCATCAACAGCCTTCTCTGTCGCAAGCTACGATCCTGTCTAGCCGTATGTGAACTGCGGAAATTGACGTGTCCCATTTTAATCATTAAAATAGAACCCCATCTGATCTGTAGCGGAGCGGCATGGTGAGCTGCTTCTGGGACGCGCATGAAAATGTCTGTATCACAGCTGGTTTGACTCACCCCCATAGAACGTCACAGCGGAACGTCACTGATTCATTATGAAGCAGTGACGTTCCTCTGATGCTCCGCGCCGCTGATGCTTCCAGTGTAAAATAGGAGTTAATTGTGACATTGCATAAAAGTGACAACAATAGAGTTTACGTACCCGTTTTCCTTCTGGACTTGGAGTTATTGTTGTTCATCGTTAGCTTCTTGGTCTTTCTATTTCGCTGGTATCTCAGAGCATCAATCCTCTCAGACCCCAAATGAGCACCTGTCCCACCTCGAGGCTTTCTGAATGAAGGGAAGACAGAGGGAAAACAGGTAACTCCAGGCCGAATGTTGTGAGCGCATGAAAACCCACACAGGTTCAAAATGACTCTAGCCGTGCTTAAGCAAGAGGTGCAACACATTGCCAGGGGATCAATGTGAGTCACCAAAATAGCTGAACTCTGAATTCCAGCACCTGTTTTAAAAAGTTTATAGGATGGGACCACTTTAATTCTACCATGATTTTGTGGACCGCCTGGATAAACAGTGCTAAACACTTTAGAACACTCCGAACACTTTAGAAAAATTTAAATCCAGATAATATTTAACAATATGCACCTTGAATTTGATGTCCTTCCGGTTTGTAGAAGATATTTCACTCAAATTGATCCATAAACATGTACATTCATAAGAAAACAAAGAATTTCACAACTTCTTCAACCACCTGTGTACCCTTTTAGTGCAAATTCCATCACTAAGTCGTGATTCTGAGACAAGACACAATTTAAACAGACTTGCACTTTCGACGTCACAGATTGAGAACAAAATGTTACCAAATTTAATGTATACTGCACAAATTTCTCCACCCACTCTGAAAATAACACATGCAATTTATTTCTTGTATAGTAGTGTATAATGTGCAGCTTCTCCTGTACTCTCTCCTGTTTAAGGAGGCACACGTGACTTGGCAAACCACGGATTTCTGCCACAAACACAGAGAAAACATTAAGCATTGCAAGAGTCCATCTTCCCTCCATGGCTGCAGAGAAAAATATGTGTGGTTAGTAGAGGAGGAGAATCACAGCTGAGCAACAAAGCATCATCGATATGTGTTCATAGACATGGATACTGTCTACAATGGGCTTCACCATGCTGACAGGGGGAGAGATGGCGGGAGGGGAAAATGACTACTCGGGAACAGTCACATCATGAAGAGTAAGCCAAAGAAAAGCGAAGCACCAGGACAACAAATGTAACAAGATTTTATTCATAATTGTTTGATTTTTGAAACGGAAAAGCAATATTTAGCAATGGCATGCATGGCAGTTTGCACATGGAACACGACTTTAAAGGGGAATACATTCAAAAGAACTTCACTGGGCTTTTCTAGCTAACAGCAGGGTGACCTTGACCCCTCTAAGTGCCTCACTTCTGGAAAATATTTGTTCTTTAGAGTTAAACCACATGAGTGAGCTGCTTGTGCAGGACATTTGCTGTGTATCGGTTCTGCAGTCATGACTCACAAGTTTAAATATACAACATACATCCAGGGAAACTGATGGATTTGGGTTTAATTCAGGTGTTTTATACAAAGTCTGTGTCCACAGGAAATGTCTAATGTTCTTATAAGGTCTGTTGCTCTGTAGCATTTCAAAACCTGATAGAAATGTAAATGAACATGTCCATCTAGAGTCATTTGGAATGATGAGACCAAATAGTGTGTCAGAGAAATTGCTTTTTGGCATCTCTGGTGTTTCTTACATGAGACCTTCCCTTTGAGTTAAGTGCATGTTCATGGATCTTAGTGAAGGTCTGGATAATCCAAACTCAGTGTGGTTTTGTGGATTCTGGGACAAAAAAGGATGAGTTTCCAGAATGCTCAGAGAAGAACAACAGTAAGCATTCTGGTACCTACTAATTTGGACACAATCAAACAGTGACTGATTCTATCTTGTTGAAGACTGGCAAATGAAACAAATGGTAGACCAATGAACTACAGGGAAGAAGACAAAATGAGAACACATAACTTTAATTTGCGACATGCAATTGTTATGTTTCTTTGTTGGCACTGAAAAGGTATTTAGTGGCAAAGTAACAACAAGGTCTTTGCAAGTTAGGGGTGCATGTTCTTCTCTCAAGGCATGGTGAAAACCAATGCATACAGGGGCAGTCAGACAGCCAGACATTCATTTGGCACGTGACTCGGTTCTCAGCTACCGGTAACGGTTCAGAGCGTTTTTTTCCAAGGAGCTATGCACAGGGCAGAGGTAGATTGAAACTTTGGCCAGTTCTTAATTAAACTGGTGCTATGAGAGCTGAAAACTCATCAGAATCAAGTGGAATTGTTTGAACCAACACAGGAGTAAACGGGTGGATCAAGTAGTTGTAAATGTTTATCAAGTACAGTGTATCATGGTATCTAGAAATTGCTTGTGACATTTTCACTTTAGTTAGTGTATTCTCACTCACTCACTCACTCACTCACTCACTCACTCACTCACTCACTCACTCACTCACTCACTCACTCACTCAGCAACATGAGCCAATATCTCAATGTTCCACTCCACAAGCTTAGTCCCGGTCCTCCATGATATATTAAAGGTTTAGCCAACTTAATAAAATTTTCATTATCTCGGGGGAAATCAGGTCTTCTCCTGGTGCACTGCTTTAGTCTATCTCTGCCAAAGTAGCTGGAATAAAATATCTTCAAAGTGTTTCTTAATCTGTTCAGCAATTTTTCCAGTTAACATCAAGACAAAGTGTAGCCAGGGATTCCCATGCCTGTATTTGCATTTGCAAACTTCCTAGAAGACACCCGAAAGCCATTCACGTTGGGTTTCCTAGCATCGATTCACACTGACATTTGGTCTCAGAAGAAATGGTTTTGCCACCGAGTACCTGTCAACTGCTTCAAAGTCCTCAGAAACAACCAAACCCTAAACGTCTCCTCCTTTGGCTTTACATGTTCTAAAGCCAATACCTGTGATTCTATTCTGGGAGGTCTGGGAAATTTCTGGGAGGGAGAAAAGAGACCAGGAGATTCAATGGCTTGGTCCACTCAGCCGTTGTTTCTCCATACAAAATCAGCCACTTCAGGACATTGCCCAGACGTCAGCATTTTGCAACTGTTAAAGCATTGAGTGATGTCACTGATTAGCACCAAAAGCCTTCTGTGATCATTATTGACTTAAAAAGTTTAATTCTGTCAAAGGTAGGTCGTAATGTAATCCATTCACAGGAAATGTAGGGGTGTTTTGCAATGTCTTCCTGAGTAACAACCAATCACCATGAGTTAGCCACAAGTCTGGCCCAGCGACTCTGACGGGCCCATCCATCCATCCATCCATCCATTCATCCATCCATCCATTTACTTCCGCTTATCCGAAGTTGGGTCACGGGGCAGCAGACTAAGTTGAGGGGCTCAGACTTCCCTCTCCCCAGCTAATTGAGCCAGCTCTTCCGGAAGAACCTCAAGGCATTCCCTGGCCAGGTGAGAGACATAGTCTCTACAACTAGTCATCCTTTAGGTCTCCTCCCAGTTGGACGTGTACGGAAAACCTTACCAGGGAGGCCCGAGCCACCTCAACTGGCTCCTCTCGATGTGGAGGAGCAGCGTATATACTCCGAGCCCCTCCCTCTCACCCAGTCTCTAAGGCAGAGCCCAGTCACCCTGCGGAGAAAACTCATTTTGGCCGCTTGTATCCCGCAATCTCGTTCTTTTGGTCACTACCCAAAGCTCATGACCACAGGTGAGGGTAGGAACGTAGATCGACCAGTAAATTGAGAGCATCGCCTTCTGGCTCAGCTCTCTCTTCACCATAACAGACCGGTACAACACCCGCATCACTGGAGATGCAGTTTCAATCCGCTTATCAATCTCACGCTCCAGTTTTCCCTCACTCGTGAACAAGACCCCGAGACACTTAAACTCCTCCGCTTGGGGCAGGACCTCATCCCTGAACCGGAGAAGGCATTCTACTCTTTTCCAAATCAAGACCATGGTCTCAGATTTAGAGGAGCTGATTCTCATCCCAGCTGCTTCACACTCGGCTTGAACCGCTCCAGCGAAAGCTGAAGATCATGGTCTGATGAAGCCAACAGGACCACATCATCTGCAAAAAGCAGAGACCTGATCCTCACCCCAACAAAACGGATTCCCTCCACACCTTGGCTACACCTAGAAATCCTGTCCATAAAGGTTATGAACAGAATCTGTGACAAAGGGCAGCCTTGGCGGAATCCAATTCTCACTGGGAACGAGCCTGACTTACTGCCGGCAATGCAGACCAAGCTCTGACACCGGTCATACAGGGACATAACAGCTCTTATCAAAGGGCCTGGTACCCCATTCTCCCGACGAACCACCCACAAGGCCCTCCAAGAGACGCGGTTGAATGCCTTCTCCAAATCAACAAAACACATGTAGATTGATTGGGCAAACTCCCACGCACCCTCCAGGATCCCCCTAAGGGTGTAGAGCTGGTCCAATATTCCATGGCCAGGATGAAAATCAAATTGCTCCTCCTGAATCTGAGGTTCAACAATCCGACGGACCCTCCTGTCCAGAACCCCTGAATAGACCTTACCAGGGAGGTTCAGGAGTGTGATCCCTGTAGTTGGAACACACCCTGCGGTCCCCCTGTTTAAATAAGGGAACCACCACCCCGGTCTGCCAGTGCAGTGGAACTGCCCCCGATGTCTACGCGATATTGCAGAGCCACATCAGCCAACACAGCCCTAGCTGTCTTCATTTGGTCCAGAACTCTGCAGCGAGGCTCCTAACTGGAGCAAACAGAAGAGCACACATCACTCCTATTCTAATGTCTCTGCACTGGTTACCCGTTAACTTTAGAGTTTATTTTAGAATCCTGATTATAACTTTCAGGGCTCTACATGGTCAAGCTCCTCTCTATATTACTGAACTGTTAAAGCCTTATGCTCCAACCCGAGCCCTCAGGTCCACACACCAGAACCTTCTAGAAGTTCCAAAGACCAGATATAAATGTTGAGGTGATCGCTCCTTCCAGACTGTTGCACCCCGACTTTGGAATGATCTTCCTTTATCCTTACGTAGCATTGACAGTCTGGACACATTTAAAAAACAGCTAAAGACCATTTTATTTAAAGCTGTTTTTACCTAAACCTTTCATTTTCTTATTTTTAACTGAAATTTTTAATCTTTCATCTGTTTATGAAATTTAATAATGTTATGACTTTATTTTTTCTGATGTTAATCTGATTCTGTTTTGAGATCATTGTGATTTTATGACTTTGTTTTATTTAGTTTTGATCTACAGTATGTGAAGCACTTTGTGATTCTATGTCCGTGATAAGTGCTATATAAATAAAATTTACTTACTAATTTACAACATCCAGAGCCTTAAGGAATTCTGGGTGGATCTCATCCACTCCCAGAGCCTTGCCACCGAGGAGCTTTTTGGCCACCTCAGTGACCTCAGCACCAGAGATTGGAGAGCCAAACTGAAAGCCCCCGGACTCTGCTTCCTCACTGGAAGACATGCTGGTGGGACTGAGGACGTCTTCAAAGTATTCTGTCCACTGATCCACAACGTCCTGAGTAGAGGTCAGCAGCACACCGTCCCCACTATAAATAGTGTTGGTAGCGCACTGCTTTCCCTTCTTGAGGCACTGGATAATGGACCAGAGTCTCTTCGAAGCCATACGGAAGACTTGCTTCATGGTCTCACCGAACTCCTCCCACACCCGGGTTTTTGCCTCAGCGACCACCCAAGCTGCATTCCGCTTGGACTGCCGGTACCTATCAGCTGCCTTTGGAGTCCCACAGGTCAAAAAGACCCTATAGGACTCTTCAGCTTGACAGCATCCCTAACCACCGGTGCTCATCAGCGGGTTTGGGGTTGCTGTCACGCAACTACCCTGCGGCCACAGCTCTGATCGGCCGCCTCAACAGTGGAAGCACGGAACATGGCCCACTCCGGCTCAATGTCCCCTTCCTCTCCCGGAACGTTTTGGAAGTTCTGTCGGAGGTGGGAATTAAAGCTCCTTCTGACAAGAGTCGCTGCCAGACGTTCCCAGCATATCCTCACAATATGTTTAGGCCTGCCAAGTCTGACTGGCATCCTCCCCCAACATTGAAGCCAACTCGCCACCAGGTAGTTAGTGGTCAGCTGACAGCTTCACCCCTCTCTTCACCCAAGTGTCCAAGACATACGGCCACAGATCAGGCAAAACGACAACACAAGTTTGTAGCAGGTCTGCTTTGTTCGCCCCTCCGACAGCTGTAGATCTCAGAGAAGAGGCCAGCCAAAGATCAGTTAAAGCAATAGTCATGTCTTTTGAGGTAAGCTTGTGGTGAGTCCGTGAGAGGGCGAGTGTGTTAATGGAAGACAAACTGAACAATTCTCTACAAGAACTTGGCTCTCATCATTCCTGTTCAAGAGATTTTATTAGTTTGTGAACGTCACTTTATAGTCAAATAACCTGACTTGAAGCTGTATATTTTGTACATGCTAGTAAAGAGAAGAGGACAGTGGCCAACCGATCACCAGCTTGTGATGATTTTGATTCGAATGGCAGGGTCACTGATGTAGTACATCTCTTCCCTCGTGGAAGGAGCCCAACTGATTTACCAGATTTTTCTCGGGTGTCTCAGGGTAAGAGGAAACAACCTGTGAAGTGGCAGCCAGGGTAGTGGTTACCAAATTTAGATAAAGGGGACTAGAGGGTTTAATCTGATTATAGAGGGATCACACTCCTCAGGTACCTGCCCAGCAGGGTCCGGTCGACAGCTAAACTGTACACAGAGGAGGGGCATTATGGTATTTGTCCTGAAACAATATATACCTTTAATGAACATATCAAAAATGAAATGCTTAGCTTATATGATGCTATGAGATAGACATATTTATGAAGTAGAGAGAATTAAAGGGAAAACACACATTGTATGTTCTACTATGCTTCTTTTTAGCTTTTATTTTTGTGTGTTTTATTTTGCATTATTTGTTTTCACCTTTCATTAATATAAGAAGAAAAAAAATGTTTGTGTTCATATTTGTTTTCGCTCCATTTTTTTTGCCAAAGTTCAAACAGTAAACCAGGTCAGACATTTTTTTTAAACTAAAATGACTCTGTTGTCATTTGTATTTATTTTGGTTAAGGGGAAAAAATAACATAAGTTTGCCTTCTTTCTGTTCCTTTTTCATTTTTTGTTTTTGCAAACCTGTTTTGTGTTTTGTTTTTATTTGTGAATAAATGAAAATAAACTAAAAAAAAAACTTGGAATTATGAACTAACTATTTATACTTGCTAGGGTGCTGGAAGGTGCAGAAGAGTTTGCCTAAACAGTTCACAGGTTTGGGGGATTTGGATTTGATTCTGATCATAACCTTCAGCATCAGAATTTTTGCTTGTAACTATTGAGTAGAGGGTGTCAAGTTTGGTAACAGGAAGATATAGTCTCTTTTTTTGCTGAGGGTCCTTTTAGCTTCCTCAAACTATAACGTTCCGCTCTTGCTGAGGTGAGGATCAGTGCCTACAAATCAGAGGCCACGGTTCATAACTGGAAAAGGGTTAGGGTGTCTAGGGGTATTGCATATGAGTGGGCAAGAGTGAGCTAAGCTTGAAAGTAGAGATTTTGATGTACAAATGGCAATGAGCCTTGGTAATTGGCAAAAGAACAAGATTGCAGAATAAGCTTGCCAAAAAATACTTTCATTTGCACAGATAGGGTGAGGAGCTCAGACAGCTGGGGGGGACTCGTATCATAGCTGCTACTCCTCCATGTCAAAAGTAGGCAAACAATATGGTTAGGAGATATGGTTGGGGTAACAGTGGTAGAAGAGCTATGTGCCTGCTCTGTAACCACAGGGTTGCAAAATTGAGCCCATATCTGTTGCAGTTGTTGTGTCTTTGGGAAAGACACTTAACCTGCCTTGACTGCTGGTGGCGGTCGAAGGGACTGGTGATGCTAGTATTCAGCAGCCTTGCTTCCACCATTGAGCCCCAGGGCAACTGTGGCTATATTGTAGCTCACCACCAGTGTGTGAATGTGTGTGTATAAGCGAATGACTGATTGTGTTTTAAAGTGCCTCGGAGGGTTGTAGAACGCTTGAAGGCACTATATAAAATACAGGCCACTAACCATTTTAGATGCACCTTGGATACCTGGATGTGGTGGTTGTTTTGGACATGGCCTCCCAGAAAGAGACGCAAGATGGTTTTGTCTCTAGCCTGGCATGAAAACAGTGAGACACAACATGAGGAGATGGTGAAAGTGGCTGGGGAAAAGATAGTCGGGGCATCCCAGCTAGGGATGCTTGCCAACCTGGACCCAGATGAGCAAAAGTCAACGATTAGTGGTGAAGCCAGCTATCTGAAACAGCTATGGTTAAAAGATAAATGGCCTATATTAATATAGCAACCTATAATGTCCCCCAACGTGCTTTACAACACAACAGTTACTCACACACACACACACACACACACACACACACACACACACACACACACACACACACACACACACACACACACACACACACACACACACACATTCACATCCTGGTTATGATCAGCTTCAATGTAGCCCTGGTGACTGAGGTGGGGCTGCCATACACACTAGTCACCACCAGTTCCCTCTGACCACCATCAGCAGGAAAAGTGGGTGAAGTGTCTGGTCCAAAGAGACAATGATTGTGTCAGACTGAGCAGGTCATGAACCACCAACTGGTTACGGGGCGGGCACTTAACTCCTCTAAGATCCTTAAGTTTGTAAAATTCTTTTAATTTTAAAATATTTCTGCTGAAATACCTATGTAATGCATGACTGATATTCGTGTGGAGGTTTATAGTTATAAAATAAAGCTCTGATATTTTTGGGATTATACGAGATATCATGGATGGGTAGAAATGCACTTCGGAACCGGTCTCTCTATGACAAATAGAAGTAATATACCCTTCCTAAAGGGTTTGTCCAAAGGGCTTTATTAAAATGTAAGGTATCAGTTCACAACTTCCCACTACTTTGATAAAGGCTTGGTCTCCATTCCATAAAATAGGAAGACCAGGGCATAATTCTGGAACCAGGCTTTATGAGTTGAACTTGTTGATTAGTCCCTAGTGGTTGATCTTTGGCTTCTGGGGGTTGGCTAGGACCACCCCTAAAATGCTTCGTGCCTTTTTGATGAGTGCTCCCCAACAACGAAAAATCAAGTTTGGGTTGCATGAGCTGGGTGGTAGGTAAAGTCAGGAGCCTAGTACACATACTAAATTCATTATGCCGTCTGTATTGTAAGATACACCTAAAGAACAAACAGCTTTTGGATCTTCAGAATTGTATCATACTGCTATTTAAACGAACACTAATTATATGTAACACTTATTTTAAAAAGCAACCTAAAGGTAAAATTCCAATAGCATATGTAACGAATTATCATTAAATTCTGTATGCACTCAACTGAAAAAGTTACCTACTCTCTCTGATATAAGGAGCAAATCAAACAGACTCAGAAGTCTTGTATTCCCCTTTAAAGGACGAGGTGATCAAAACGTCCCACCTGCTAACCCCCCCCTTTCAGACATGGATCCAACCCTTACCTATTGTGGTGTAGAGGATCTGGTCACAACAACGCTGCCCAGATAGCTGAGATCAATCAAAAACAAAGCAGATAAGACTCCAGGGGTCATTAAGAACCACCACACTGCCCCTAATAGATGATGATGGAGACATTGCAGTACATGAGAAGCAGACAGGCCCTGTGACACACTTTGCCCAACAACCTCTCCTTGGTAGTCAGACCTGGAGATAACCTGGTAATGTTTAAAGGTTTGGGAACAAAGGTTACAAAAAGGAAAAAGGAAGCTGGGTAGGAAAGATCTGAGTGGTTGGAAAAGTTAGGGAGAATTAGTAAGGCTCAGGATGGGCCGCAGGGCCTGCCAAGATGAACTCTCCTTAAAGCATCCTTCTGCATAAAGGCACTTTCCAATGTTTGGAGCTAATTCATGAAAATGAGGGTTTATTCTAGGGGTCAACTGAATAAATATTGTGGCGTTCCTCCTGTCAAGTGGAAGCAGGGCAACACATAGAAAAGCTGGGATCCTCTGCGATATCTATAGATTCCCAGACAAAATACACACGGATAGCCATAGTGGTTTTCATCCACATGGACCATATAGCCCTTATAGGTATCAAATGAAATCTGTAAAATCAAGTGCATTTTCTTTCCAATTCAATAGAACATTTGTTTGCAGGGGTTTTTAATTGTTGATATTTTCAGTGAAAATGCTGCACATTTATCTTGGTGATCAACTTGGAACGATGGTTCTGTGAGCATAAGCAATCATAACCAGTCACTGAAGAGCTTTTAATATACACCCACCTACTGGGAGGGCTCCAATCCAGTACAATAGGAATGTTAACTCACCACTCGTCTCCCAAAGGCCTTTAATCATACTGGAACCAGTGAGGCCTGCTGCCTTAAAGGGCTATTCCTATTTTCATAGAATCTGGGGTTACAATAGATATTTATTGTTCTACTTTGTATAGGCTTCACCGTTTAAGGCCGGATTGGGTTAAAGGTAAAGCTACATGTAATCTACATCCTGTTAGTTAAGTTCCAACCACGTCTGTTTGCCAAAACCCAGATAAAACACTACCTTCCTGTAGGACTGCTCCACAGGCAGCAGAAGGAAAAGGTGCAGCCGATACGAGGGAGTGATGGAAGAATAAATGGTCAAAATGTAGCATTGACACAGCAGGGAAACAGCTGGCAATAAATGCCCAGAGATCACCTAATAGCAGCCCAATAGGAAAAACCAAGAGACTTGGGGGAAGGTGATAATGCAGTGAGGTCACTCACACTCTTAACAGATGTTAGAACCAGCAGCTTCTCAGGAACCTGAGCAAAAACCAGATAAGTGCTCGAATAAGGTTTTAACAGATCACATTACAAGCACTGCTAAATCCCACTGAGGAACTAGTGAGTGGGACACAGGTCTGTGTCTCCTAACGCCTCTTAGAAAATGTTCTGTGAGGGGATGACTAAACACCTACAGTATCTGTCCCAAAAACCCTGTTGACAGGAGAGGGCAGCAGCAGCATGGCCCTTAATGGTGCTGAAGGCCAAGCCTCTCTGTCCATCAACATCTGCAGGAGGGAAAAATGCTGGCTAACAAACATGAGAGGAGGTCTAGAACTTGCTCCTAATACCAGCGCTGAACAGCGGTCTATTTAGCAGAATGGGATGCAACACTGGAAGAGGCACTGGCACTCTGAATTGTGCATACTATGTCACGAGAATCCAGGAGCCTCCAAGCGTTCAGCGGTCATACCCAGAACCGTTGGGCCTATTTTTGTGGATGTGTGATCGCGCCCCCCACCTTTTGCTCGGAGGAGAGCAGCCTCCCTCGTAGCATGCATTGCGACTGATGCAGCAAGTCCGCTTTGACGAGCCAAAACAATGCTGGGGAAGCCCCTTGTATAACGGTTGAAATGGAGCCACCTAAATTGCTAAAGTCATGCCCAACAGCCTCATAATCAACAATGCAGTAACAGATGCTAGGTCTCGTGCAGGAAATCATGGCAGTAAGAGCCGCAGCTGTCATCTAACAGATATGGGCTCTTATTAGGGAGGAGTCCATTTCCACACCCAGGCAAGGAGTCAACTGGGCTGGGACGACAGAGCTTTTCTCCCAGTTTCCTCCCACTAACACTTTTGGCCTGAGTCACTTCTCCCTCTCTTGAACAGGCCAGAAGGAGCGGATCATTCAGATAAACAGAGCTGTTACATTTGCTGAGCATAATGGCTGAAGCGCCATCACCAAACATTTGGAGAACGCGCTAGAAGCAGAGGAATAGCTGAAAAGGAGTCGGTTGTACCGATACTGGACTCCTTTGAAGAAGAAACTCAGGACACTTCCTGTGTTTCAGGATGATGGAAAGGTCATGGAAGTGTGAATACTTCAAGTTATGAAGGTGAACAAGGCATCCTGGTGCACACAATCCAAATCCTGTTTCATGGTGAGCAAGTGGAAATGTTTCATTTTACCCATTTATTTTGGAACTATAAATAACTGGACTAGAACCCAACTTCTCCTCCATCAAGGAACTCTGGAGCTCGAGGGTGGAACCTTGTTTCAGTGATGTTAGTTCCACCTCCTCAATCCTACAGAATGGAGAGGAGTGAGACAGAACATGAATCAAGTGACAGTTGTAAATAGCGCAGTGAACAAAACTGTTCATGTGGGATATACAGCACCTGTCCTGAGTGCTCTATAGTGCTCACGTGCACAGCGCACGCATCGCGTCTGCACAATCACAGCTTTCACAGCAGGGCCCTGATGGCGAGTAAATTCGCAGGGATTTCCTGAGATGCAATAACAGTGGCAGATTCTCTGGGCCCAGGTTTTCATAAAGTTGAGCTGTGGTTGCTATGACAACAATGGTTGTCAGTGGGCTCGGGAATCCGCAATGAAATAAGTGTCTACACACATACGCTGGGAGCCAGTTTTCATGGCAACTTGCTTGTGAGACAATGTAGGTGGAAACCCACTAAGCTGCCAGGCAAAGAATGAGTAAAGAATCGTCGTTCTAATTCAGTCCATGTGTTAACAAGCTAACACTACTGTCCTTCTCTGCAGCTTGTTGACGTGCTGGTGTGGCAAAGAGGGGAGCTGAACCAGCAGCCAGCTGTGTCACCAGTGTTGGGAATGTTACTTTAAAAAAGTAATTAGTTATAGTTACTTATTACTTTGTCAAAAAAGTAACTCAGTTACTTACCGAGTTACGCGATTATAAAATTAACTAATTACCAAGAAAAATAACTACTTAGTTACTTTTTTTCATTAAAGAATGCAAGAAAAATGGGTTCCCCTCTTAATTAAGCTTGGTTAATTTACTATAAATTACTACAATAGTGAAATATAAATGACTAATGACTGGAACATAATAAAATCAATGTGCAAATGTTTTTATAAACCTGAATAATTTAAATAAATAAGCACTTAACAGGAGGAACTACTAACAGGAGCATCACACTTATCTAGACTATTAAAAGGTCACTGTGTGATATTTAACAAGACCCAATCAGCTAAAATTTAAAATTGCAAATAGAAACACCTGTAAAGGTTCCCGAGCCTTTAAATGGTCTCTCAGTCTAGTGAAATTACAGAAATGAATGTAATTTTGCACAGCATTTTAATTTTTCCAGCTTCACATAATTGTGTGTTTTAGTAGCATTTCTGTTGCTGGTAATCTAGTAATGGTTAAATAAATAAATAAAATCCTTTAAAATGACACTAGAAGAGGCACAAGCCTGATGGAGGACTTACATTTACTAACTTGGGTCAGACCCAACCACAGAAGAGCTGAAGCTGGGTGGTAAACACACACAGGTAGTTCTAATAACACATGAGCACCATGACGTCTGAGACTGATGCATCAGTGTTACAGTGGGACTAAAGACATGATCAGGAACAGGTCACAGGTGGATGATCTAGGAAGGTAGATCAAGACGTCTAAGCGGTGAACAGGTGAACGAACCTTCAGGACGTCCCGCTGTCACGCTAAGAATGGCACGGCTGCAGTTCCACACCTGCAGCCGTAGACTAATCATCACGTCTTCCTCGTTCTTCACGGCCGTGATGTGCTTGGATGAAAACATCTGCCTCTTCAGCTCCTGATCAGCTGACGACAGCTTCAACACACGGCGCTGCGCTAGGGATGGGTACCTTTGACATTTGAATCGATCCGGTACTAATTCCCGGTACCTACGAATTGATACCGGTACTTAACGGTACCAATTTTCGATACTTTTGAGTGTTTAATATTTTTCATTCTCTTTTATAATTAAATATATATTTTTCTCAATGTATAACCATATTTGATAAATATCACGATAAATAACATACAACTGTTTGTATTTTAACATCGTCCTTGTAGTTTTATAAGTTGATAATTGAACTGAAGCAAACATCTTTACTGTCAACTAAATTTACTGCGTATCTTCATTCCTTTTACCGTCCTTTTTCAATTGATTTTTCCTACTGTGAAGTTAGAATTTCCGAGGAGAAAGTGAACGCACCATTAGATGATAACAATGGTGGCATAGGAAGCTAACATATCAAGCTAATATTATCTTAAACAGTTTATTTAACTGCTGGAGCAGATTTAAACGATGATGCCTCACACTTAAATCGTTGTCACTGGTTTCATCTTCACCCAATCACCTGTCGCATTTAGTAAAGTGAAGCCAAACTTTAGAGCGCGTTCATGTTCTTCTAGTCGGAATTTCGGAGTTCCGAGGAGAAAGCGAACGCACCATTAGTGAAACGGAAGCTAACAAATCAAGCTAACGTTATCTTAAACATTGTATTTACCTACCGGAGCAGATTAAGATGAGGAAGTCTCACTTAGATCGTTGTCGCTGGTTTCATCATCACCCAGTTACCCATCACATTTAGTGAAGTGGACCCAAGCTTTAGCGTTCATTCTGTCTACCATGCTGCTCTGTTTACAACTCGCTTGCAGCGAACAATGACATAACGCTCTTGCGCATGCACAGCTGTCCAGGCAAGTTCTCGTTGTGAAGGACGGGTACCGAAACGAGGCACCGTTTCAAATGAAGTGAATCGGTGCTCGGTCGGTACTGTGGAATTCGGTCGGTAACTTAAAAAGTATCGAATTCGGTACCCATGCTTAACACACGCTTTTCCTCATCAGTAACAGAAACGACGTTTTGATAAAAGAAGACAGTAATTAATTAGTTTGCTCGTTACTGAAACATTTATTTATTTTTGGTAACGTGGTTATTTTTCAACGGCGTTATTCCCATCACTGCTCTGTTGTGTCTACAGCATGCAGTGACTGAGACAGTGAGAACACTGAGGGTCTCCGCCCACCCGGCCAATCATCATCGTGTTTGCAAGTGCGTTCCTGACGCCTCTCTCTCCCTGGCTGCAGCTGAATTGTGGCGGTCAGAAAGCCTCACACTGCTGCTCAACGTTCCACAAGTACATAGTAACGCACAACCTTCCATCCCCAGTAATGGTAACGGCATTGCAACAGTAGGAAAAGTAATGAATTAGATTATTCCATTACCTAAAAAAGAACGCCGTTATACTTAAACGTTGTTACTCCCAACACTGCGTGTCACAGGGCCAGGGCAGGTTATCCTTCAGTAAAACTTTCAGTTTCCGGAGGTTGGAATAGGAAGGAAGGAAAAAAAAAAGTTCAGAACTCCACTCAGCAAAAAAGCTCCATTTTAAATTAAATGCGGGAGTGCTGGAGCACTCAAGTGAGTACAAAGGGTCCATTAGGTACAAAAAACAGAAACTAATTTTTTGTGTCTTTGTCAGAGTTACACTCCTAGTGTCGAAATGTTAGTTTCTATTTTTTGCACCTAATTAAACCTTTGAACTCACTTGAGTGCTCCAGCTCTCCTGCTTTTCATTCTGAATGTCCCCAAGCTGTAGGGCACCAACCTGTGAGTGGATGTCACACAGAGAGTTTTACTTTCAGCACCATTTTGATCCCATGGCAGTAGAAGCCAAGGCCATATAGGGTATAGGCAGTGGTAACCTTCCCGCCAGACCATCTGGTCATGGGGGAGGAAAAATGGATGTGTGAAGAGAATATGGGAGACGAATGGTGGGTTTACACCCCTCTTATACCGGATTGGGGACTGGGCAGCCATTTATTAAAAGCTCTTCAGTGATTGGCTAAAGAAGCAATGTTACCCAATCCAGCTTTAAAGGACAAAGCCTATACAAAATACATAGAACTGTGCTTCACCAGTGTAGTGGGGAAACTCCAGGCTAATGATCAACATGACTAGCAGCACTGACCAAGCTGAAACTATACTGAAAAACATTAGAATTATCAAATAAACTATTTAGATTTTATGTTTAACAAGTAATGCAAACTAAACTATAAAAGCCTTTTTTTAAGCACCAATAGATTTAGAAGCTTTATTAACCAAAAATGCAATAGCAACCTCCCACATCAAAGCATTAATTATTAATCTAGATGAAAAAATATGACATGCTTCCCGGCATGCCTAACAGACCTACCCTGAAGGTGACAACTGGGGTGGAGAGGGTTCAGATGGAAGAATCTCCTCCTGTGTCCTCCTTTGAGTTGGCATTTGCCCAAATAAGTTGCTGCTTTCCATAGGAGATGATGCGGAATATGGCGTTGGGTAATTGGTTGAAGAGGTGGAAAAAGCTATGTGGGATCGAATGCTGAGGCTTGCTTTCCTGCTACCTTGACCTTGAGCAGGTGAAGATGATGGGGATGATCTCCTTGAGAAGCTGACTGCAGAAGGAGGAATTAGGGTAATTTCCGACATCTCTTTTGGTATTTGAGGTTGCACAATGCTGGCTCGTGGCCTGGGTCGTACTACGACCTCTGGAGAACCCTCTTGAGAACTCAGAGGGCTTTGGGCGAGGGGTGAAAGTCGAGAGGGCTGGAGAACCACCTGATGCATGCCAGAATCTATTCTTTGAGCTTGTCTGGGACTGAAATGAGGGGTGGTTTCAAACCATTGTGTGTCCAGACTACTGAATGTGCTAGGGACCATATGGCCTAGTGGATCATTGTAAGGCAGAACTGGCACATTTATACCAGGACCTGGTCGTCTCAGCTGCCCTCGATGCACCTCTTGCATAGCTAAATGCCTAGCTGGGGAGCCAAGAGGCTTGGCCTTGCTGGGAGACTTGCTTGGACGGCTCTTTGAGGCCTCTAGTGGACGGGCAGCAGGGTAGGTGGGCATTGGAAGGGAAGAGGAGGGAAAAGCACTAAGAGGAAAAACATTTGGAGGTGAGGGATAGGGGGGTTCATGGTAGAGATGCACAGGACGGTGAGGTGGAAAAATGAACTGAGGCCCCTCCAAACTTGAAAAGCTGAAATCTAGTCCCTGCCAAACCTCTGGTGAGTGAGATGAAGATGCAAGTGTCAGTGGAAGAGGGAAACCAGAGACAGCATATTGTGAAAAATTACCCTCTCCCATTTCTTCAGGAATCATGGGGTGCCCAAAAGGACCCTCAGCCAGATATGGGGGAGAAGACATGACAGACCTCAGTGGGCTTGTATCAGGCATGTAAAATGGAGGTGGTGGATCGTGCTCTCCAGGACCACCTAGATATCCATAAAAAGCCCTGTGATGAAGAGAACCTCGAATCTGTCCTGTGGCCTGGAGCTGACTGCTCTCCATAATGGTCATGCCTTCAAAAGGCCTTTGGAAATGAGGGCTGTAAGCAGGAGGCTGAAGGTAGGACTCCTGACTAGAGATTGGGGAAATTTGGTAAGGACGAAGTGGGGCCATAACAGGTGGAAGAGGTCTAGGATCATCATTCTCTTCATCTGATTGACGAAATTCTGGATAACGGTCTGATTCCTCCACAAAAGGAAATCCCTCAATTCTCCGGGATTTGACAGACATTTGTGCATCATTGGGGTCAATAACAAACCGTCCATCTGGGCCTCTGCTGATGAGTTCAATTGGTGTTGTTGCTTCAGTTTCATGGTTTGACCTGTACATTTTGCCAGATATTGCTCTTCTGGTCTTCTTGTATAAAGATAATTCCTCCTTTCCTGGACTCAGGGGTGGTTTCTTCCCATGCTGATCATGACTTTCCTCAGATGATTCTGATGGAGAGGCCTTTGATCGTGTGCTCTCTGGACTCACCTTTCCTGAAGATGGTCTATGAAAAGAAATAAAGAAAAGGAAATTTTCAAAGACAAATATGAGTTGAACTAGAAAAAAAAAGGATCATACTGGTTGATTATAAACATGAATTTCCTGCACATTTACAGATGCCTTGGATTTTTGCATTTTTGACATCTCTGAATATCGCAGATCAATAAACAAAAATCAATTCCAGACACTGGTTCATGGTGTTTTTCCTAAGCGCCACAACTTAGTAAACTAAAGCAGGCATGAGCAGTATTGCTTTTGGAGACACTGACATGAAGAATACAGCTTTCTTCTTTTCTCATTGAGTAATTAATGCTGCTTGGAGCTCCTCTCCCATCCAAAGGCGCTTCCACATCTGGGTCAGTACAGTCCGGGTAGTGTAGCTTTACTGGTTTCACATCTGAACAATATGTGCGTTTTCCATTCTGAGGTGTCTCTTGTTCTCAGGCATCTTCCTCGGCAGAACACTACGGACTGATTGACTGGCTGAAATGTATGCCTACTGACTCCATTTGGCGGGTAGAAGCAGCCAGCGGGGGCTTCCAGCATATGTGGTTCATTATTATTCTGGATGCTGTCAAGTCTGTCTGTCTGCAGTACGGAGCTCCCACCCCAGCGCGGCGGCGGACTGCTGCTCAGTGGGAAGACAAAGGCGAAAACAGGGAGGAACAATTGTGAGCAGTACCACAGCTCACAGCCGCCTTTGTTTACTTTTAGCTTCAGCCACAGCAGCGCAGTGTTATGAGGACACACACAGCAGTATCAGTAAGAGAACAGGGAGCAAATTAATAAAATAAGGTCGTTCAGAGTCTCCAAAAGCAACACAGCTCACTCCCACCTTTATCTTATTAATGTTATTTACTTTATTAAGGACACCACAGACTTTTCTGCACATCTTTTGTGCTGCACATGTGCTCGGAAATGAGAAGTCCATGAGAAACTTGCCGGTGCAAGCCCGAACCGACCTCGTCCACCCCCAACCGTACTGACTCAGATGTGAAAGTGGCTCAAGAGCGCGCTCTAAGGCCGATCCAAAGTGCAGTCAGAGAAGATGTTTACCCCACTGCATCCAGATTGCTAATGAATTGTGCATGTGGTAAGATGATGCTGGCTGATGCTACCCATGCCCGTCAGAGGCTCCCAGAAGTAGGTAGGCAGGAGAGTGACATAACTTCCGCTGGCCAATAGGAATGGGCGATGTGGCCTAAAATCTGTATTACAGTACATTTTGAAGCGCATGGTAACGATATATTGTGCAATACATTTTTCTGTTTATAGATGTCAAAGCAAGATGTATTGCAGCACTTTACAGTAGTAAACAAATCAATTTAAATATTATTTAATGTTAAAACTTTTTAAAAATACAAAACATCTCTTATTAATTTGTTGTTGTCTTATGATTCTTTTTCCAAACAATGCAATACAAACATTTTCATAAAATGAAAAAGATGGAGCTATTTTAAATAAAATACAAACTAAATGTGATGAAAACATAAAATTCTGAATTGTTTGAACTGAGGTGAAACATTAAAAAGAGAAATAAGATTTCTTCCCACTATTCTGATTCATTTCTTAACTTTTCATGTAGTCATTTGCTCATAGAAGTTAAGTATTGCTTCAGTGAATAACAGTAGCTAAAATAATGCTTTGGTGCTTTTTGGTTGACAATATTAAAATAAAGTTTAAGGGTTTCTCCAATTTCTTTCCCTTTTGTTGAGCTGTGCACTGAGCCGCGTTGATTTGACTCACCGCAGTGCGCACCGGCAGCACGGAGCGGAGAGGGTGGGGGATGCTTTCAGATTACACATTTTTACCACACAAGAGAAACAGATAAAACTTCGAAGGGACATTTGTTCCAAGTAAATCGCAGAAGATGTCCAAACAGTTTGGAAGCTTGTGCGTATTAAAAACGAACAGCATTGTAGATAATAAGCGTTAATGAGCCAACGCAGACTTCACTTTCACCCAGAGTATTTTACTGAGGATGTTATTCTGCTCAACATCCCAGTCCTAAAACCCAAACCAGGTTCGTATGAGCAAAGTTACCCCATTCACGAGCCCGTCTACATACATGTGCACTGTCAAGAGATGGCGCAGAATCACCAAATTCATGCACAGTAACAGTTGAACGGTAGAGCCAAAATCTCTACTGGCAGCTAAATTTCTATCATATCCACAGTAAACCGTTTATACCATGCATTACTACTGGCACTAGTGGACTAGCGGGCTGGGGGCAGAGCAAATGACCGGGCCCTTTAAACCCATAAAGGTCAGGATAACATGATTTGTGTCACAACGTGTGGGTGTGGTGAGTGGAGGTACGGATCCAAATGCAGGGCAAGAAGCAGGCAGACAGGAACATTAAAACAAGGATTTAATAAGGAACACGCTGGACAATGAAACAATGAACCGACAAGACAAAAAGGACTGACAGGGTTTAAAAACAGGAGGAGCTGGGACCTTGGGTGATTGGGTGATGAGAGGCAGGGGGAAGCAATTAACATGGACACAGGTCTGAACAGAATGGGGAGACAGGACAGAGTGTGACAGCTTGTAGCTGTGGCACCCTGTATTGGTAGCTGGGCCTTTAGTGCCAGTTTATTGACATAATATGATGTTACAACAGTGGTGAACTGGCCAGCTGTAAATTCTGGAGTGTCCCAGAACGGCCAGTGTTGGCCTTTTAGCACCCCACCTTCCGGAGATCCCCCATGCTGCAGGAGCGTGCAGCCTCCCACACAGTGCTTTAAGAGGACCGGTACAGCCACTTCTAATTTAAGGTATTTCAAATTTAGAGTATTTTTTCAGAACTTCGGGAAAGTGCCCCTTCTCCTCCACAAAACTGGGTAAAAAATGACAAAGATATCACTAAATCCCCACGACAAAAGAAGAAAAACTCTGAGGCTGACCCTCAAACCCTTACAGTAGGCAACTTTCATGTCAAGAATGTGCATTTAAATGGCAGAAATACCAGAACATACTGTTTTCCCAAGAACTACTCCCAGCAGTCCTCGCTAAACAACCAGCTGTTAAACAACTCATAATTCATCTTGGTGCTAATGACATTCGCAAAAGACAATCAGAGAAACTGAAGCAGGACTTTGTGCTCTGATAAAATCTCTAATCTTTCTGGAACCAAAAGTGTTAATCAGGGAACCATTACATGAGAGAAGCTGAACGTATCAGCCGCATCTTTGCTATCAACTCTTGGCTGATCAATGTTTGCCACACAGAGGAAATCTACTTCATTGACAACTTCAACTTCTCTTAAGTTTGACTGAACAGATATGGGTTACAACTTTTATCTCAAATCTCATTCACATTCAGCGTGGATTATCTTATCTCTGCTTATGAACTTGACTGTATACACCTATCTGAAATCTGGTTATATGATAGTAGCTGCGCACCAGTTCTCATAGAATCAACACCACCAAATTTCAGATCTCCGGCGAAGGTGGCAAAGGAGTTAAGTGCTCGCCCTGTAATTGGAAGGTTGCAGGTTTGAGCCCTGCTCAGTCTGTCATTGCCGTTGTGTCCTTGGGCAAGACACTTAACCCACCTTGCCTGCTGATGGTGTTTGGAGGGGCCGGTGGCACCTGTGAATGGCAGACTCGCCTCTGTTAGTGTGGCCCAGGGCAGCTGTGGCTACAAAGTAGCTCCTCACCACCAGGGTGTGAATGTGTGTGTGAATGGGCGAATGACTGATTGTGTTGTAAAGCGCCTTGGGGGGTTCCAGGACACTAGAAGGTGCTATATCAAATACAGGCCACTTACCATCTCTAAACGTGGTTCGATCTGACAAGAAAGGTGTTGGTGTCGCTGCTATTTTAAAAATCTCATTCCTCGGCATAGTTTATAGTGACTTAGATATTTTTGAGTATCTATGTTTTGAATTAAACAGGTATACATAAGATCTTATTGTTAGTAATATAAAGACCTCCTGGGTCATGCATGAATTTCTTAGAAAACTTCACTGAGCTTCTCTCTGTTATCATAACAGACTTCAATCATTTCATAACTGGTGACTTCAACATCCATATTGATGATGTAAATGATAAAGCTGCAGTACAGTTCCTTAGAGTGCTCGAACTATTTGACATTGTCCAGCATATTCATGTTCCATTACACACTCAAGGTCACACAGTAGACTTAATCTTAATCAAAAATGTTGATGTACCAGACATTGTTGTTAAGGATGTTGGCCTCTCTGACCATTTATGTGTTTTCTCTGAGATATCAGCTTTACCCGTAACCCATCATAACTCAGTTGTTCTCAAAAAAAGGCATTTCAGTGATAACACTGCATCCGTTTTTTGTGAAATTACGAATATGTCAACAAGTCTCTTAACCAACTGTGTTGGTTCCCTGCTAAATCACTTGAACAGCACAAAACTGTAGAGGTCATTGCTCCAGAAAAGCAAAAAATTATCTCTGGCAAACAAAAAGCTCCATGGAGGTTCACTAAATCAGTTACAAACCAAAAGAGGAAATGCTGCAAAGCTGAACATAAATGGAGAAAAAGTAACCTTCCTGATCATTATCAGTCCTACAGACAGGAGCTACGTACTTACAACTTAGAATTAAATAAGGCGAGGCAAACCTTTTCTCTAACGTGATCGATAACAACATTGACAATTCTCGTGTTCTGTCTGCCACTGTCGAGAGGCTAAGTCATCAACCAACACAGCTGGCTCCTGTTTTCATGTCCCAATCTAAGTGTAATGAGTTTGCATCCTTTTTCAATGAGAAAATCTTAAACATCAGATTAGCCATTCACTCCTCCATGCCAGCCAATGCAACCAGACCACAGCTACAGCCAAAAAACAGCACTCATGATTAGTGCCAAAACACTAGAGGACATAGTTAAGAACTTAAACTCATCTACCTGTTGTCTTGATATACTACCAACTAACTTCTTTAAAAATGTATTTAACTGCATGAAAGCTGATGAATGCAAAATTGTTAATTTGCAAAAGATTCCTGAGGCATTTAAAAACTCCCAGCCTGGTTCATTAAGCCGGGCGTACACTGTGCGACTTTTTCACTTTTTTGAGCCGATTTTCCAGTCGTGCGAGAAGCCACGACATCGGGGCGAGTTTTGCGCCGAGCGGTCGTGTAGTGTACAGGGGGTTACGAGAGGCGATTAACACCACGTGACCAGCCGCCGCTCAGCAGTCGTGAGGTCGCAGGGACTTCTGGTGTGTTTAATATTTTGCTCGTCCCTCGTGAGGGTATCGCACTGTTGAAGCGGCGCTGCGAGCAGCTACGATCCAAAAAGTATCAGAACCGCTCACGGCGCATGCGCGCGCAATCCTGCATCAACGCCGGCCGGTCGCTCGCTATTTCCCTAATAACACACGCTGTTCGTTTTTGTTTCTACACGTTTTTTTTTACTCACAAAGATTGTCAAGATAGCGTGTTTGTCGTGTTCATGTCAAATTAAACTAATCACAAAACACAGATTCACTTTCTTTATTTCGTTTTCCTCATCCAACCCCGATAAATCTCTGTGTGTCCTCCTGCAGCACTCCCGAAGGACAACAGGCAAGACAAAAAAGTCTGACGTGTTGAGTAAAAACTGCTATTTTTAGCACATTTTTAGGGCCGACGTGTTGCTACCAGATGTACAGTGTGAGCAGTCAGGTCGCATGCGAGAACTGGGTCGTCCAGTGTGAGCACATGACTCGTGAGATCTGCTCTGCGAGGAAGTCGTACAGTTTGAGCTGAAGCTGAACGCTGCGAGTGAAAAAGTCGCACAGTGTACGGCCGGCTTTACTCAAAACCGCAATCATAAGTAAGACTGCCGACCTGACTGCTGTCCAGAAGGCCATCATTGACACCCTCAATCAAGAGGGTAAGACACAGAAAGAAATTTCTGAACGGATAGGCTGTTCCCAGAGCGCTGTATCAAGGCACCTCAGTGGGAAGTCTGTGGGAAGGAAAAAGTGTGGCAGAAAATGCTGCACAACGAGGAAGATTGTGGAGAAGGACCGATTCCAGACCTTGGGGGACCTGCGGAAGCCGTGGACTGAGTCTGGAGTAGAAACATCCGGAGCCACCGTGTACAGGCGTGTGCAGGAAATTGGCTACAGGTGCCGCATTCCCCAGGTCAAGCCACTTTTGAACCAGAAACAGCGGCAGAAGCGCCTGACCTGGGCTACAGAGAAGCAGCACTGGACTGTTGCTCAGTGGTCCAAAGTACCTTTTTTGGATGAAAGCAAATTTTGCATGTCATTTGGAAATCAAGGTGCCAGAGTCTAGGAAGACTGGGCAGAGGGAAATGCCAAAATGCCTGAAGTCCAGTGCCAAGTACCCACAGTCAGTGATGGTCTGGGGTGACATGTCAGCTACTGGTGTTGGTCCACGGTGTTTTATCAAGGGCAGGGTCAATGCAGCTAGCTATCAGGCGATTTTGGAGCACTTCATGCTTCCATCTGCTGAAAAGCTTTATGGAGATGAAGATTTCATTTTTCAGCATGACCTGTCACCTTACCTGAAGCCCGTAGATAATCTGTGGGATATTGTGAAGAGAAAGTTGAGAGACGCAAGACCCAACACTCTGGATGAGCTTAAGGCCGCTAACGAAGCATCCTGGGCCTCCATAACACCCCAGCAGTGCCACAGGCTGATAGCCTCCATGCCACACCGCACTGAAGCAGACATTTCTGCAAAATGATTCCCGACCAAGTATTGAGTGCATAACTGAACATAATTATTTGATGGTTGTCTTTTTTTGTACCAAAAACACTTTTCTTTTATCGGTCGGATGAAATATGCTAATTATTTGAGATAGGAATTTTGGGTTTTCATGAGCTGTATGCCAAAATCATCAATATTAGAAACAATAAAAGGCTTGAACTACTTCAGTTGTGTGTAATGAATCTAATATATATGAAAGTCTAATGTTTATCACTACATTACAGAAAATAAAGAACTTCATCACAATATGCAAATTTTTTTAGAAGGACCTGTAGTTTTTGTTGTGGCATCTTTTTCATTTTTTTTATTACTTTTCCCACTTCACATCCGACATTCAGCAAAAAGGTGTATTTTTTTCTCTTGTGAAAATAGAGTTGTTGTATTTTTTATTATTATTTATGTATTTATTTTTGCCTTTCTGGGTTGTGCAAAACAACAACAAAAATACTTCCATTTTCACAAGAGAAAAAGCGTATCTTTTAGGTCAGATCCATTTGTAGTCCTAACCAGCCAGGTCCTTGCTGTTTTGGACCGTGTATCACTAGCCGAATGTTTGGTGTGAGCGTACTGGTGATGTGTGGTTTACTCACGATGTTTCCATACTTTTTCTGCAGTGGGTAATGGAAAGAGGGGGATCTGGAACATACAAAACAGACAGAAGACAGTATTACTGTCTAAAGAATTTCAAATGGTTCACGACTACTGAAGAGAAAAAACACACTTATAAACATTAGTTAGGTCAAAGAGAAGATCTAAGTGAAAGAATGATTTCTTAATGGAATTATCAGGGTTTTCTCATTCAGAACAAAAAAGATTGATTTTGGAGATTTTTGCAGCAGCTCTGATTAAACAGTAGAGCTGCTGCTGAGTCCTAAACTGACAGGTAAGGCTTAAAAATAAACCCGGTTGACTACATCAGCTCCTCTCTGATGTCACAGAGCTTCTTTAAGCTTATACACTGAACAAACATGTAAACGCAACACTTTAGTTTTTGCTCCCATTTTTCATGAGCTGAACTCAAACATCTGAAACTTAGTCTGCATACACAAAAGACCCATGACTTTCAAATATTGTTCTGGAATCTGTCTACATGTGTGTTAGTGAGCACTTTTCCTTTACCAAGGGTGTTTCTCAATGCCAAGGAACCTTGCCTTGATGTCTTGGCCCCGCCCCGGTTGCCTAGCAGATACGTCATCGGGAGCTGCCAAGACGTGTTCCAGTGTTCATGTTTTACCGAGGCATGTGTTCTCCATTTGTTAGCCATTTAGCTAGCTGAGCAAGGATACACGGGAGATGACTTGTAGCCTAGAATTACCCAGAATGCACTGCAATATTTTCAAAAGGATGGTGGATCAGAAGCCGGCAGCTACTTTGGTTTAAAATTTAAAAGTAAGTCAACTAATTTTAAATGTTTTATTTTTTAGATCCAAAGAAGTTATCTGTGGTTGGTTGCTTAGTAGTTGCAGCTTCGGTGGCTAGCGGGTAGTAACTCACTTATATATTTAATTTAATAAACATATACACAATTTAAAAAGCAAAAGGTATATATTTATATTGAAACTAATACGTCTAAAATAGAACGTTATCTCCCGTGTCACGTGACGTTACGTGACCGCCTTGGAAGCCGGCGTCACGTGATGCAAGTCTGTTCCATTTAACCATTTTCTTTGACCAAGGAAGGACAGTGTCCTTGTAAGCAAGGCGCCTGGCGCCTTGACAGTGAGAAACACCCCAAGGTAATCCATCCCACCTCACAGGTGTGACATATCAAGGTGCTGATTAGACAGCATTAATAATGCTCAGACTTGGGCCTTAGACTGCCCCCAAATAGTGATGATTACAAACAGTGAGTAACAAAATGAAACAACTGAAGTTGTTTCATCTGTCTATAGGAGCAGAATAAAATAACATGTCTAAATTTTACTTATTCCAGTGAAACTATGTGACTCATTGGTTTAAAACGAAAACATCGTAAATGTTTATTTATACAACAGACACAAGAGAGAAGAGATTAGCTTGTGAGCAGGTGGTATTGCGGCCTAGTCCAGTGGTTTGTCTGAATAATGTGTTTAGAGACATTTTTATAAATGATAAAGATGTATGTATTTACATTAAACACTTGAAGGAGTGTAGATAGCACCTGAAAGGGAGTTTCTGATTACTGCCCAGGCATTTACAGACTGCCTAGGCAGATGGGTGTGTATGTACGGAGCAGTGATGGGTTTGAAGGAGGACAGCTGAGCCTGACAAGCTGGTGGTAAGATGGTCAGAAAGGTGAGAGAAGAGAGACCAAGGGTGGACAATTTACTGATCAGGGCCTCATTTTCTACACAAACATTGTGATTTAGTAAGAAAAGCTTGACTGGAAAATGTGGCAACATTAAAGGCACAGGGTGTAAAAGCATTGGACTCTTCAGTGCCACTCAGTTCAGAGTAGGTATTGCAGCTACAGAAGCCCAGACACATCAAAAAGGCTATGTGTGTATGTCTATTGCATCTTCCACTGCTTCCCTTGTCTGCTATTGTCGACTTCAAGCTTTCAATCCAGCAATCACGTGTAGTTAGAGCAGGGCAAACAACCCAAGGGCAGGAATCAGAATTTCCCCTGGAGATAACTGGCGTCATGCCCCAAAAAATATTTAGAGGGAGGAGAACTTTCATGTCAAAGCACAAACATGAAATGCAGAGCATTATATCTTGTATGTCCCTAAACAGCTAAGGTATTTCAAGATGGTGCATGACCATGGAGCGTCGACCACCGTCTATGTATACAGAAATGAAAATTTTCAAGCTAATGGGAATATTTTAGAATAGACATTGGTGAGGAATATTAATGTCTAAGGACACATTTGTGAACAGCTACACAGAATTTGACAGTAAATAAGTAAAATTATTACACGTGTCTTTAGGCAAACTCTGACCCTGGTGTGAGCACATTTTGGGGATGGCGAGAGTGGCAGCACAGGTGATAAGATGGTGGCATGCTACATTTATAGATCTGGAAGAAGAAGAAGAAGAAGAAGAAGAAAAGATCTTTTCTATAGCGCCTCTCAAGATAAAAATCACGAGGCGCTTCACAAAAACAAAAAACTTACAAATATAAAAAATTATTTAGAAAATGATTACACATGTTTCATATAAGCAAAAAGAGACAATTGCGATTAAAAATGTAAAGAAATAGAGAGAGTGAATAGGAAAGAAGGCAATCAGTGGATCATGAGGAAGGTGGAATAGGTAGGGAGAGCAGAACAAGGAGAGAGTGGTGAAGCCAGCTTTAACAGGTGAGTTTTCAGCTGCTTTTTAACCCTCTCAGGCTCAAAATTGGTTTTGATAAAAGGAAGAACAACTAAGTCCTTCAGGGGTGCTTCTGAGTTAAAAAATGCTCATGAAATACATATGTGGAGTAACCGGGTAGGTAAGTTTTAACGCTGCTAATCTGCAACACCTGCCTCCAGACGGTTAAAGGAGACCACTGAGTCAAAAATGTCAAAATGACTGTTTTTACATTCTCATATACCAGATGAGTTTCACGAAATACTTCTAAAAATGATTGAAGAACATTTAACGTACTTGCTCACCCTTTAACTTGAACTCTGTTTCTTTTTCATTTTTAAATACGTTTTGTCACATTGATTTTAATGTTCTTGCTATTCTTACAAAAGGAAAGCACATTGAATTGCCTTTATAAACAAAATGTGCTTTATTAAAAAAAGCTGCCTTGCCTTAACGTTCAAAACTTATTTAAAAAATTGCTAAAACCTTTCAAGTAGTTTATGTTGTGTTATGATTCATTTTCCAAACAAAGCAGCCCAAAAATTGTGTGTGTGTGTGTGTGTGTGTGTGTGTGGGGGGGGGGGTTATTAAGTGCAATGTGTTCCTGCGGTGTCCGTGAGGGCGCATGGGGTTGGTTAGGGTTCCTCCTACGTCTGTCACAGTGGTGGGTGGGGTTTGAGCGGTTGCGCTTTACCGACTTCCGCAAAGGTTTGTTACTGGAAGACAAGATGAACGGCTCTCTACAGGGACTCGGCTCTCATCATTCACTTTGAGAACCCGGTCAAAAGATTTGATTCATTAGTGAACGTCACACCACTAAAAATGATGATTTGGTTTATTAAGTTGAGCGACGCTCTAGCGGGTCTGGGGTTATTAGAGGTCAGACCTGCCATAAACACCGGCTGCAAGGAAAGCGACAGACAAGGAGAGAGACCGACAGGGAGAGAGACAGACAAGGAGAGAGACCAACAGGGAGAGAGACAGACAAGGAGAGAGACCGACAGGGAGAGAGACAGACAAGGAGGGAGACCGACAGGGAGAGAGACAGACAGGGAGGGAGACCGACAGGGAGAGATACAGACAGGGAGAGAGACAGACAGGGAGAGAGACAGACAGGGAGAGAGACAGACAAGGAGAGAGACCGACAGTGAGAGAGACAGACAAGGAGAGAGACAGACAAGGAGAGAGACCGGCAGGGAGAGAGACCGACAGGGAGAGAGACCGACAGGGAGAGAGACAGACAGGGAGAGAGACAGACAAGGAGAGAGACTGACAGGGAGAGAGAATGACAAGGAGAGAGACTGACAGGGAGAGAGAATGACAAGGAGAGAGACTGACAGGGAGAGAGACAGACAGGGAGAGAGACCGGCAGGGAGAGAGAGAGACAGACAAGGAGAGAGACTGACAGGGAGAGAGACAGACAAGGAGAGAGACTGACAGGGAGAGAGACAGACAACGAGAGAGACAGACAAGGAGAGAGACCGACAGGGAGAGAGACCGACAGGGAGAAAGACAGACAAGGAGAGAGACAGACAAGGAGAGAGACTGACAGGGAGAGAGACAGACAGGGAGACCGAAAGGGAGAGAGACAGACAGGGAGACCGAAAGGGAGAGAGACTGACAGGGAGAGAGACAGACAGGGAGACCGAAAGGGAGAGAGACCGACAGGGAGAGAGACAGACAGGGAGACTTAAAGGGAGAGAGACAGACATGGAGCGCAGCACAAAACTTGTGTTTTTAAAGAGAAACAGCTGGGGACAAAAATGTGTTCAAACTAAATCCCGGGGGAAGTCTGAAGGTTTGGAAGCCTGTGTGTTTATCGTGTGTTAAAAAAAATTAACTGCATTTAAGGGAATTGTTAGCGAGCTGTTAACACACATACGACTTTACTGTCGCCAGAATTATTTACTGAGAATGATTCTCTGTCCAACATCAGGTCCGTATAACCGGCCTTACCCTGTCTTCAGTACTCCTTAACTCATTCACTGCCATTGATGACTAAAGTCGTTATTTGCATTCGTTTTGGGCCGTTCCTGTAAAACAAAGTGAGGCGCGAACTGGAAAAGCGTCTGCCGATCACAATTCGACAACGGATTTTGAAAGAACGGATAAAGCTCGGAACACGCGGATTCTTCCTGATGTAAGAGGTTAGTCTCCGCTTTGTTGTGGTTGTTTTGGCGTCGACATCATCCTAGCGCGCAAAGTTCTGTGACTCTTAAAAAAATAGTAAAAACAGCGAGAAACAGCTGGCAGCGAATGAGTTAATCCACGTGCTCTGCTCTGCTGAAGCCTCTCTAAAGCTAACACAGCTTGACAAAATTCATGCTGTCTCGGTTGGCTTAAATAGATAATCGATAATATGATATCAACCATATATTACTGTGCATTACTTTATTTGAGTATTCATTAAGCATAACACATCCCAGAGTGCTGTCATCACAATAAAATGTTAATTTTTCCATGTACCCCCTGTAATGCTCTCACGGACCACTAGGGGTACGAGTACCCCTGGTTGGGAATCAATGCTATAAGGGATAGCAGCTAGAGGTGTAAACACATGTTGATGTGTTAAAAATAATAAATACATTCACTCATACACATCCATAAACATATAAATAAAAGTATAAATAACAGGTTTAGATTTGACTAAGAGGGACTATTTACATAATGTGAAGAAACGTCAAAGGTCCGTTTTTATTGTGATTCCTCTGATTGTCCTACAGCCTGTGGACAGGCAGGCCCAGCCTCACCTCTTTTTCTCTTGAGCTTCTTGCGACGCTGCTTGTTTACAAAGCAAGCAGCCATTGTACTAAACAGGACAGCTGCTGCCAGGAAGCAGATGGTGGCTACGATGCCAGCCACCACAGGCCGTGTCAGTCCACGCTCCTCCACCAGCTCTGGAGGGGGGAAGAAGTCTGTAGAGCAAGAGTCCAAAATTAATATCACTACAGCAGCTCACCTAAGGCATGATGGGTAAAACTGGGGTAAAGGATGTGTTGGCTTAGACGTGGGATTTCCTATGTATCAATAGGACATAATTAGCTAAACAAACTGCAGCTGAACAAACTGTGTTCTGTGATGGTTGTGCAGTGCTGCTACTGAACACAAGGGTCAACACACGAGTACATATTTTTGTATCTAATTTTTATTTATTTATTTATTTATTTTTACAAAATTAGGAAAACAAACATTGAAAAAGAAAACATTCTAAAGACCTTTCATGGACAATAAACCTGAAGAGTCATAGCAGAAGGTTAACAAGGTCCTGCCCTTGAGCCAGATGTAGGGTTAGTCAGGGTGTGAGTGCATGCTGGTCAAGCTTTTGTCCATAGGTCCATGTAACCTAAACCAATTACATGGACCTGTCCACCTGTGGACCTACCAGGTAGAAGAGGGGTATAAAACTGGTAAGTTTTGTATATGGACTGTCACCTTTTTGGAGGGGACAGATGAGATTTACAAGGTCACACACCACAGGACCATAGGAAAAGTCAACCCCAGGGCCCTCATGTATGCAGGTGCATGCACAGAGTCATGGCCTGCACAACATTCTGGATTCATCAATATTCATGCAAACTTCGTGTATGGTGTGGGCCCATTTCCACAGTCATGATCAATACTAAGGCTGAGGATACACTTGCTTTTTAACCTGGCATTGGCACAGGAAGCGTCTTGTTCACCTACTTGTTGCTGCATGTAGTACTGGAGGACTCTGCTAGGGGTCAGAGTACAGAACTCAGACCGAATAAAGTGCCGAATTTGTAGGGTATAAACAAAACAAACATGGCGGCAGTAGAAAACATTATCAGCTGGTTCATTTTGAGATCACAGCAGAACAAAAGACAGGTGCGGTATTATAGATGGTATGTAAGACCTCTAAACCAGACACAGCATGACAAAGGCTCCCCCTACTGGTTAATCACACATCGCACTGTCACATTAATGTCAGAGGACATGCACAAAGGACACTCCAAGCAAGCACAAGTTATGAAACTTTGGCTGAGTAGCGCTTGTTCCTGTCTCCAATGTGGTGATGCCTCCATGAGCCTGTTTGAGGCAAAAGTCCAGAATCTCAGAGGGCGCCTATAGACATCTGATTACACACAAGCAGGTGACCTGTCGTTTCAGGCCTTTATCATTTTTGTTTAGATTTTAAAAGATGACAATCTTTACATTTAGACTTGGCATACAGATAAAAAAAATGAATGCAGCAAAATAAAACACATTTTAATTAAATATTCATTTTATTATTTTACAAGCACAGAGACCCACATCAGATGGATGAAAGAGCCGACCCCTGACCTATACCAAAGTGGGTCTGGTAAATGTTGCTGGCAGTAAGTTAGACCTGTTACTGGTGAGGGTTGGACTCAGGGCTACCCTTTGCCAGTAACAACAACATGATTTCCTTCTTTTTGATTTAATGGCGGATTGCATAAACGAACCGTAACCTTTGAAGTCTCAAGGAATCTTGTGACCTCGCGAGTCAAGCGAGGAGCACAGCAGAGAAGCCGCTTCGCTGCTGAGACTCTCCCGGTGTGCACTGAAGTGCTGTGATTGTCGCGAGTACACCATTCCACTGCTGTTCCGCACCACTGATGCTTCTAGCGTGCAGTAGGGATCAGAGATAGGGTGAGAAGCTCGGAGTAGAGCCGCTGCTCCTCCACATAGAGAACCAAGTCTATCCTGAAATGCCTGGAGTTCACACACAAGTAGCAACCAGAGACTTATCTGAATGAAGAGTGCCAAGCTATGTTATTAGTTCTCAGTGACTTTTATTGCAATAGACATGTTTCCACTACAGGAACTTCAGGGTAGATGTACAGGAACCTCCCGACATGTCACCACCTGTCCGAGTCATCCAAACGGTCGTTTTTCGGGCCGTTTTCAGGAACCTTCTGAGTACCTGTTCTGCAGTAGTTACTCCGAACGGCCCGATGGAGTAGCTGAGTGGAACTAGGGCTGGGCGATATGGCCTCAAATGTATATTGCAATATAATCTGAAGCATGTGCGATTACGATATATACTGCGATATATTTTTTCCTTTGTTTGTATATGTCAAAATGACATGCTTTAAAAAATCCTCATATGGAAAATATATTGCAGCAGAATAAAGACGTCCAAAAAGTGTAAAATGCTCCTTCTCCTCCTGCTACATGCTTGCAGTCACTGCCATACTGTTGTTCCAATGTCGGCGCGGGTGCTCATCTTAGTTACATCATGTGTTATCGCGATATCGTGGTAGAGCCAAAAACTTATCATTACGCAATTTTATATCGTTTCTACCTTATATCGTTTATATTGCCCACCCCTAAGTGGAAACTCCCATTAACTCACGCTGATTGGTTGTAACTCAGTAGGAAATGACATCAGCAGACGTCCAAAACAACTGGCAGCAGTAAAATTAGAAGAGTAGCTGGTGAAGCGGAATGCAACCAAAAGAGAATAAGCACCGATCGCATTTAAAATCTAACTCCCAACACCGGAAAACTCGGTGGTCTGCCTGAGTGTTCGTGGCTCCCGAGTCAGGGGGCTTAAGATTTTTGGCGTCTGCCTGATCAATCCCGGTGGCTGTCTGGTGGGGTCTGGGTCCCTGGGCTCTGCTGGGTCCCCGGCCGGGGTGTTCGCCCCTGGGTCCCGGGCTCGGCCGGCTAGGGGGTGGGGAGACTGCGGGCGGGCCTGTGGGTTTGCCGCCGATATCTCCCGGGACTCTTCCAGCTGCTGGTTGTGGCCCCCCGGGGGGATCCTCTGCGCCTCTGAAGGGGGGCGGGGGCTTTTCTGGTCATAGTCTCCCTGGGTCTCCTGTGCTCTGGGGCAGCACCTGGATCTCTGGGACTTGGAGCTCCCTCCATCTCCTGCACATCTTTAGGGGGCATATCTGTGGCCCCTCACACTCTATTGGACGCTCTTATAGAGAAACCTTTCATAAACAAGCGTGTGTACACACACCGGTGCTCACATGGTGGAGTCATAAGTATGGACTTGGGCACGTTCAACACATGTCTTAAAGCTATGGTGGGCACTTAATGCACTGTGATTTATTATCATATGATTGTTCAGTTAAACAATGTTGATTATATATTTCTTCAAGTTGACGCAGTGATAGCTTGATCTTGTTGTATTGTTGTTGTGTCCCATTTATTTGTTTTTTTTTCTCTCTCTTTCTGCAGGTCTAGAAGCAGACTCTTGTTCATTATTGTTTATTTTTCTGGGATATTTTTGGACACTTTTTGTGGCTGATCAGTGACATCACTCACTGCAAAAGCAGTTGTCATATGCTGATGTCTGTGCAAGTTCTGAAAGGGCTGCATTTGAATGAAGACACAACAGCTGAGAGGACTGGGACATCCTATCTCCTGGTCAAGTTCCCCATCCCAGGAACTACCCTGGAGTTCTGGTGATGGAAACATGCCTATTAAGTGATGTCTCTGAATAAGGGGCCAGTTGGACCAGGCCCTACCAGATGGCGATGTTGAGCTCTATGCTTACTTAAAATGATGAGTGGTACAAAATTGTTTGTTTTGGGGTAATTTTGTATAAAAACCCATTCTACCAAGAATATTCTGGTATAATCATCTGTGTGTTTATATCTGAGATTTTGCCAGGTTACTCACTCTGTAGGTTAAATCCTCTTGAAAATTGGAGATGGGGCCACGTCTGTCCCAGAATTACTTTTAAACATGGAAGATCTGAAAGCGTAGTGCGGATGCTCAACTCATTCTCAACGGTAAGCCACAGAGCCCAGAGACTCCGGCCCCAAGCTCAGTTTCTGCGCTTCCCCAAGCTCTGGTCAGTTTCTGCGTGCCCACCTCCTGCTCGCCGTCTGGTTAGTTCTTGTTTTCTTTATGAGAGCACAGATGGCAAATATTCTGCTGCTTTTGACCCACCCTGTTCTTCTGATAACGACCCAGATTCCTTAACTTCTCAATTTAACGAGCACTGCCTCTCCATCCTGGACAACATCTGTCCTGTCACAACCAGATCAGTTCCTGAAGTGAACCCTACTCCCTGGTTCAATGACAGCCTTCGCAGCCTAAAGCGCCAGTGCAGCTAAATTGAGCGCTTGTGGAAGAAAACCTGTCTCCACGTCCATCGGCTGCACCTAAAGGATCTTCTGACATCCTTTAACTCTGCAGTCAGAGACGCTAGGGTTTCCTATTTTTCCAACCTGGTGTCCCTGTCACGATCTGCCCCTGCCCTCCTGACTGTGTATCTCTCCTGCCCTGATTAGTCCATATTGTTCTCACCTGTCCCTCGTTAACCTGCTCATGTTTTCCTAATTAGCCTTGTGTATTTATGCCACCTGATTTGCTCCTGTCCATTGTCGGATCATTGTATGTGCATGTCTCGTTTTGTCCTGTCGCTCCCGTTGTTATTAAACCCATTTTTACTTTATCCGTGCCTGCTCTTCTGCCTCCTGAACCCCCCACCACACTTGGTCCACCATCTCCACCCTCACAACATGACAGAATGATCCGACCAACCTGGACTTGTGGTGAGCTTAACGTCTGTTCTGGAGGATTTTTTTTCTCTCCCGTTTCAGCTGAGGGAGATTCCGGCCTGGAGTTGTGTTTCTTGGCGCACCCTACCTGTTCTCGGGGTGGTCGAGCCCTCTGAGGTGATCGTGGCACATCCTACCAGTTTCCGGGGTGGTCAAGGTCTTTTCTCCTCTCCTGCTGTTTTGCCCCGTCCTGTTCTTCACGGAAGCTGCGGATCCTGGAGTTTTGATGGAGGTGAAACCCCCTGCGCACGCCAGCGTTCTTCGGAGTGGCAGGGCTGGTCTTCCTGCTCTTTTCCTGCTTCCCTTCACCCGAGCCTCCGCCGATGGACCCAGCTGATCGTGATGTGCACCTGCTCCGACCATATGTCGAGTACCTGCCGCCAAGCTGGGCGTCCTCGCGTCGCTCCTGCTGTTTCGTCCCACTTCCTGGTCCACGCCTGCAGGGTCTATGCCTGCAGGCCCTTCACGCTGCAGTTCCTGCTGGGTCTTATGCCTGCTGCTGCAGTTCCTGCTGGGTCCCACGCCTGCTGCTGCAGTTTGTTTCCTTTCCAGTCAAGTCTTCGAGTCTCTGTTCCAGTCAAGTCTTCGAGTCTCTGTTCCAGTCAAGTCTTCGAGTCTCTGTTCCAGTCAAGTCTTCGAGTCTCTGTTCCAGTCAAGTCTTCGAGTCTCTGTCTCGAGTCAAGTCTTCGAGTCTCTGTCCCGAGTCAAGTCTTCGAGTCTCTGTACCGAGTCAAGTCTTCGAGTCTCTGTCCCGAGTCAAGTCTTCGAGTCTCTGTCCTGAGTCAAGTCAAGTGTTCCCAGTCTCCTGTGTTGTGTGGCCTTGTGGGCGTCTGGTATCCGCCCCTTAAGGGGGGGGGGGGGGGGGTGTACTGTCACGATCTGCCCCTGTCTTCCTGACTGTGTCTCTCTCCTGCCCTGATTAGTCCATATTGTTCTCACCTGTCCCTCGTTAACCTGCTCATGTTTACCTAATTAGCCTTGTGTATTTATACCACCTGTTTTGCTCCTGTCCTTTGTCGGATCATTGTATGTGCATGTCTTGTTTTGTCCTGTCGCTCCTGTTGTTATTAAACCCATTTTTACTTTATCCGTGCCTGCTCTTCTGCCTCCTGAACCCCCCACCACACTTGGTCCACCATCTCCACCCTCACAACATGACAGTCCCAGAGCAAAGGGAACCCCAAGGTGCTGTTTAACACCATCAGCAGCATCGTCTCTCCTGCCTCTCCTACAACCTCCATCCACTCTGTTGCAGACTGTGAGAACTTTCTGTCTTTCTTTGTGGACAAAGTCAATAAGGTCAGATCTAGCAACTCTCCTTCAGCCTTATCACTGCCTCTCCCGACTCCAACCAGGCCCGTCATCCTAGATAGCTTTGCTCCTGTTTCTTTGCCTGAGTTAACCAAACTAGTTAACTCTATGAAGACCTCTGCATGCCCCCTCCACATCTTACCCTTATCTTTGTTTAAAAGTGCTTTTCAGTCCATCAGTCCCAGCGAGTTCTCTATAACTAATGCTTCTCTGGTTTCTGGTCAGGTCCCTGCTTACTTTAAAAATGCAGTAATCCACCCGCTTCTTAAAAAACCGAGTCTCGGCCCCTCTCTCCATTGCAGCTTCAGACCCATCTCTAAACTTCCGTTCATCTCCAAGATCTTGGAAAAGGTTGTGGCTAAACAACTCAGCTGCTCTTGATGAACATAACATCTATGATAGCTTCCAGTCAGGTTTTCGTAGAGCTCATTCTACTGAAACAGCTCTTCTTAGGGTTTCTAATGACCTTCTGACTCACAGTGATGCAGGGGACTGTTCTGTTCTGGTCCTGCTGGACCTGACTGAAGCCTTTGACACTGTTGACCATCACCTGCTACTGGAGAGGCTTAGAGACGGGGTAGGCCTATCAGGATCTGCTGTGGAGTGGTTCTCCTCTTATCTTTCTGAGCGATCCTTCTCTGTGGCTGTCTCCAAGTTTCAGTCCCCCACCACCTCTCTTACCCATGGTGTCCCACAAGGTTCTGTGCTAGGGCCTCTGCTCTTCCTTCTCTATCTGCTTCCTCTTCAGCACATCCTGAGCTCATTCAAAGGAATCTCCTACCATCTTTACGTGGATGACATTTAACTGTACATATCCTTTAATCCCCATGAGATGTCTAAGGTGTTACACACCTGTTTAGACTCCATTAAAACCTGGATGGCTGGGAGCTTTCTACAGCTGAATGAAGATAAAACTGAGATCCTCATCTGTGCCCCAGACAAGCTGGTTCCCAAAGGCAGAGACTCTCTTGGTCAGCTTGCTTTTCACACCAAATCTTCCGTCAGGATCCTTGGCATGACCTTTGACCCAGCTCTCACCCTGGATTCTCAAGTCAGTTCTCTTGTTCGCTGTTCCTTCTTCCATCTCAGGAACATTGCAAAGCTGAGTCCCATTCTGACCCGTTCTGAACTTGAGACGGTTCTCCACACCTTCATCTCCTCACGCTTAAACTACTGTAACTCTCTTTTCACATGTCTAAGCAAAACCTCCCTGAACCGTCTACAGGTGGTTCAGAATGCTTGTGCTCGGCTTCTGACCAAGTCCTCCAAACACACCCACATCACCCCGCTTCTCCTCCAGCTTCATTGGCTGCCAGTCAACTTCAGGGTTCATTTCAAAATTCTGGTTCTGGTCTATAGGGCCTTACATGGACAAGCATCATCTTACATTGGTGATCTTCTTAGTCCCTACACCCCCATCAGGTCCCTGAGGTCCAGTGATCAAAGCCTACTGGTTGTGCAGCTCACCAAGCTAAAGACCAAAGGTGACAGATCATCTGCTGCCGTGGCCCCCAGACTCTGGAACTCTCTCCCCCTGAGCCTGAGATCAGTGGACTCAGTTGACTCCTTTAAAAAGCAGCTGAAGACACCTGTTCAAGCTGGCTTTTGTATGACCTTCTTCACCACTCTCTCTTTATTCTGCTCTCCCCACCTATTCCACCTTCCTCAGGATCCACTGATTTCCCTCTTTCCTGTTCACTCTCTCTCTTTCTTAACATTTTGAATCACAATTGTCTATTTTTTTGCTCATTTAAAATATATTTTAACCATTTTCTAAATTCTTTTATATTTTTACATTTTGTTTTTGTGAAGCGCCTCGTGATTTTTATCTTGAGAGGTGCTATAGAAAAGATATTTTCTTCTTCTTCTTCTACTTTCAGGTCATCCAGTCAGTATAACGGAAAAGTACACGTGAGATTATGTTTATGTTCTGTGCAACAACAGCAGCCATGTTGGTTTTGCTGGTTAGAAAACAAGAAATAACAGAAACAATGAAGAGAACTTCGCCCCTTGAATAACAGAGATTAAAGTGGAGGTCTTTAACGAATATTATCAAAGGGCAACATTGGCACTGAAAATAGGAAGAGGAGGTGGGTGGATAGGGGGTTAGGGGAGCACCAGAGAACCAGCTAATGGGAAGTTGCTTTGCTAGAAAGATTCCACCAGTTGGGTATCACTGGATTCAACTTTTGGGATTATTTGATTTTAGCAAAGGAGTTATTGAAAGGCATCTCAAGACGAAAGATCAATATTTAAGAACTGAAAAACACAGGTGAGGGATGAATGCTGTTGAGTCGTTGTGCCCCACCTAACTTATGCCAGAGACACTGCTGATTACATTTAACAGCCATTGCAGCCTAACTTGTTACGTAGAATACACATGTATATTAGTGCATCAGTCTGTAACAGGACTGTGTATTATATGAATTATTACTCATGTTATGTAAAGCGTACCTGTGCTGGAGACTCCAACTATATTACTAGGTCCGCTGATCATGCCATCCATTACAGCCATGATGCGGAACTCATACCATGCCTCCTAGGAAAAGGGAAACAAAGGAATTAGCAACATTTATAAATCATTGTTTTAAATGAGCAATTAGTAAGAATTCTATAGTGAAATAACCACAAAACAGTCTAATGTCTCAATTATGTTGGAAGGAATGTTATACTGAAACAGTTTTCATTCTCAGCCGGCTGGAAGGTGGTCAATTTAATTCCTTACAAAAAAGAAAAAAAAAGCGAGATGTAGTTACTGTTTACAGTCAGTGAGTTTGTGAGGTTGCCATGTCACTGGTTGGCTAATGCTGTAGCAGCAGCATTTATAATTTGACACCAGCAGGCAAAAAGCTCCAGAGTTTTTCGCAGAAACAAATAAAGTAAACAAGAGCGACCCAAAAGTTATTTCTTGAACCCCTAAGAAGCCCCGGCATGTTTTTGTTTTACTCTAATATCAGGTGAAGCAGACTAAAGGCTAACATTAAGCTAACAATGCTAACAATGACTTAGAAGTATATAGTAGTCTCTAAAAATATGTCAAGCTACTTCTTCAATTACCAACAATTCTATATCAGAGTCAAATGTATGTGTTAGGTAGATACTGAGTCATTTGTGATGTTTTACTTCTTTTAATGAGTTGTTCACAAAAGCAAGACAGCAAACAACCAGACTTCCTCTAATGCCGGAGACAAACTATCATAATAAGTGTAGTGAGTGCTCCCTACCGTAAAACCCCAACAGTGTTAACACCAGATATGATGGTGTATTTATCTACTTATCATCTTACACTATGTATGACTCGTCTCCACTTGGGATTCCCTAAGTGTGGTGCGCGCACCCCTGGGGGTGCAAGAGCTGCCGCTAAGGGGTGCGCAAGGTGAAAAGTGTAATGGCTGCAGAGCTCAGAGAAGTCTGTCATATGTCACCATTAGCGTGGCCAGAAGCTCATTTGTGGATGGGCCTGAGAAAAAGTAAGTGGGTGCAATAAAAGTAATTGAAAACAAGTATATTTTGTGTGTGTGTGTGTCCTCCTCCGCATGTGCCCTAGCTTCAATAATGCGCCGAGCTTCAGCGCTCTGACCTGCGCACGCTGTCAATAGCAAGATATGTTCCGTATTTGATCATTTTTAACAATGTTGGAGAAATCTGAAGGTGGTGAGTCATTCTGGCAGATTGTAATTAACACCCTGTCTCATGCAGGTGTTCTGACATTGTGAACCTCACACAAAGAACATTGTGGATGTAGCCTAACTAAATAAATCAAGAAATGATTCCCATCTGAGCATTTTAGCATTATTATTATATTAGCACACTGACTCTGGGACAGCATCCTAAACATGTCAGGCTATTAGCGCGCTGAAGATCTGAAGTTCAGAGTACGTCTGTCAGAGGTCAGACGCGTTCCAGCGGAACGGCTCACGGGTGCACATGTGAGCACATCTGGACTGGGCATAAGTAATTTTACAACATTGGTTTAAATTGCGCCAATAACGAGGCGCAGTGGCTGGAGTGGCTCATGGAGCGGCTCATGGAGATATGCCGCACGCACTCACACACACACACACACACACACACACACACACAGATTCAATAAGCGCATGCTGCGCAAACTCCGGCGCTGCACTGCGCCGCGCCATCAGACTGAAGGCAGAAATGAGCGTTGCTTCCTCCGTGATAATGGTCGGGACATAGAAGGGGGTGCACGGCTAAATACATTTGGGAACCGCTGATCTAGAATCTTCTGGTGCTGATCTGTAACTGGGAACAGCCATGAAGCTCACAGAACGGAAGTGAGAAAGTAATTTTTTGCTTAGGAAAACAGGCTGCAGTAACCACTTTTGACCACAGGAGGTCATTCTTGCTTCAGTCTTACATATTGCACCTTTAAAGGCTTTAAACATGTAATCAATATCTACTTTCAGCTTAAAATGCACCATTTTTACATGACTGTCAACGTCAAACAAAGAAGCTCATATCTCTAAACCAAATCACACTTTTTTTTCACAGCTTCAGCTTGAAATTGTCTGGGTTGAACATTATCATTAATACCCAAACCAAAATAAGCTTCTTCCCCCACTATGTTCAAAACATGTTACTCAGAACCAGAAAGATATAGATCTGATTTGATTTTACAAACTTGAATATCATTTTAGCATCACTGTATCTCACCTGCATGAGATCTCGAGCAAGCAGTTCCAACTCCCCAGCAGGAATGCTGTCATCCAAGATGTCCCATCGCTCCCCCAAACGGAACTCCATCACATAATGCTGGATAGGTGCTGTGTGATTGGCAGGTGGGATCCAGGTGAGCAGGACACCCTGATGCGTTCGATTGGCTGTTAGGCACCGTGGTGGAGTAAGCAGCACCAATGGTTCAGGGGTACTGGTAGGAAATACTGAAAGATCACAGGGTTGGGACAGTGTGTGATTTGGGTGCTCAGGACATTGTTTAACACCAGGAAATCAGAACTGCTGCATCACCATCATGCTGATAAAATCCACTCCTCCCATGATATCTTAGTTTCATTTTCAATTATTTTGGGCTAATTTCCTTTTGCTAAGGCATCTATTTAGTTTTCTCAACGTTTTAATATTTCTGAAACATAGGCAGAAACATCATCATGATTGTCCTTAAAAAAATATGAACTCAAATGTATATGCACACAAAGCAAATTAACTACAAATCCCAAAATGCTCCTGAGCATTTATGTTGTATAAAGCTCAGCATTTAGAGCACTCTATCCACCTTATTTTTCATGTTTTTTAAGGAGAAATGATGATGGTAGCAACATCCAATGACATACTGGAGCTAGCGCATACCCATTGGTTTACATGGTGAGATTTTGTTGCTAGTAGCAGTTTATTAGAAAATTTAAAAAAGATTAAAACAGTTTTTACCCCCCAAAAAATGTGCTCGCTTGGCTCGGGAAGATGTTGCACTGTTTGCGGTGGTATTAACAACCAGAGAAAAAAGTAGCTAAAATGCTACTGTATGTTAGCTTTGGCCAGATTCTAAGCTCTTCCTCCCACACCTCTAGTGCAGTAAGCAGGAGAGTAAAGGGGTCCCGTTTGAGCTGTGACAGCTGGTGCTTCCACGTTTTCCATCTCTAAAAGCTCATAAAAAGAGGATTCACACGAAGGGATCGGATCGCATCGTCTCAATGTAAACTAACGCGGACCAGAAGTTGCTACCATCCTTCACACAATGCCTGATGGGCTGTAGGATTAATGTGGATAGCTGGCTGTTTTCGTTTAAAGCTATCATGCTGACTATAATCTGACAAACTGATGTTTGAACTTTTTAAACACCAAGGTAGAGAACACTACCCTCTGGGCTCTTTACAATCAGCTAACCATACTGCTCCAGATCTTTATGTTCATCAAGTGAGCATCATGCAACCATCACACTGTAATGTAAAACTGATTCAGTCCTGGAGAATGTCCACAACTACAACTGTGAAAATAAAGAAGCCTTTAAAGGTCCTTAGCAGATCTACAGCTTTAAAAAACATATGTGACAATATTAATCTCCATCCACTACAACGTGTATACCGGCATGAATTTGAGTATAACATTAAACATGAAGTTGTGGTGATTATTTAAAAATGTAAAACTCCTAATTAGTCTATGATGCAAACACATAAATTAGAACTTTGAAAGTCAGCTTTTTGTAGTCTGAGCTCTATGAGCACAGTCTAGATGATCCTTTTAACCCAAATGTGTGTGATGTTTTCTCAGTGAGGTGAAATATTATTAGAAATGTGCATTAACATTTCTCACAGGCATGTTATTGCCTTATAAAAAACTGTGAAACTGCTTTCCTTTGTGTTTGGGTTTACACAATACTGCTTATTAGAATGAGTAATCTAGAGATTAAGTTAATATGTTTGTTACTACACTTAAACCTCACAAGCTTGTTTAAAAAGTCTATCTTTATAGCTGCCAAAGGTGTTTAATTATTGGCTTTCTTTTCTAGTTGAGCAGCACTGGTACTCACCTAGTGTGTTCACAGTGACAACCTCGCTGAAGGGGCCTTTGCCAAGCTTGTTTTGAGCCAGAACACTAAACTGGTATGCTGTTTCTGGCTCTAAACCAGGCACTACCATCCAGTCTTTGCCTCCAGGCACAGGGATGGAAACCCAGTCATGTGGACCTAAACGCTCCCTCTTCAGCCTGGATAGAATTCAAGGTGAGATGTGAGTTAACAAGGTTTGTAAAAGATGATTGAAAATATGAGAATGCCTTGGTATTTTAGGAAAAAAGTCCTCAACCTAAACACAAATAAATTAGATGTTATATTGGCAGTTACTGAAACAGTGAAATGTGTTACTCTAGGCGTTGTCATGAGACACACCATGCCGGTAAATCTGTGTAAAACTACCACCGCGGTGTGTCTAGCAGCTTGTAAAAAACTTAAGGAGTGCGGCTTTAATCGCATTAAAAGCAAGTTACAGTATGTCCAAGATAAAAGGAAGTCTGTGACAGTGCAGAGAGCACCCCCACCCCCCTGTTTTTAGATAGGATACCAGAGGGTATGTTCCACTTATAAGAACTCACATAGAGGGCACAGGTTTGGGACTTGGCCTAGTAATTGGTGGGTTGCCGGTTCAAACACAGGCTCCATCAGTTGTTGCGTCTTTGGGCAAGACATAGCAGCCTTGCTACTGTCTGTGTGCCCCAGGGCCGCTGTGGTCTTTATGTAGCTCATTATCATCAGTGGGTGAATGTGTGTGTGTGAATGACTGTAATACAAAGAGCTTCAGAGTCCCTGACTTAGAGAGGCACTATACAAATGTACAACATTATATTATTAAACAATCTTCTGCTTCCCTGGAAAGGTCTACTCCAAGGTTCTGGAGAAAAGGGGCCAGTAAATAGTTGAATTTTGGATTGATGAGATATAGTTAGCTATACTGGAGCAGTATAACTATAAAGCCTTGCCTGATACCAAAACTTTATTAGAAATATGTTCGGATAAATGGCGGACTTCCGATGACGTCACCGTAGCAACCGGTCGAGCTTTGACCTGCTCCTGTTGGTAACTCAGCTAAATCCTTTAAATTAAGAAGAAACGCCCCAAAATACGACAACGTAATAAGCGTTAGACCCACGATGCCTGGACCTGGTAAAACTACCAAGGAGAGGACTAAGTCAACCACACAAACCAAGTTATCGGGGTTTAGCGGTGAAGCTAACGTGTCCGAGGCCTGCGCAGCTGACAAGCCAGCCAGCACGAGTGAACACGGCCCCGCGGATAATGACAAAATGGAGGAGAGGCTGCAGCGTGCCATACGAGAGGAGTTTGCAGGTATTGAAAGCAAGCTTGCAAACACGCAAACTGCACTTTGGGACAAGCTGGAGGGCGCAGTGGCCAAGTTTTCCAGTAAGGCAGATGAGGTTGTGGCAGCCATGAATGAAATGCAAAAAAAAGTGTCTGAATGTGTGGGGAGAGTGGAGGAAACGGAGAAACGCATTTCAAATGTAGAAGATGAGCATGTGGTGATGGGGACCACCATTTCAAGATTAGAGAAAGAAAATAAAGTGTTGATGGATAAATTAGTGGATTTGGAAACCAGATCCCGACGCAATAATCTCAGGTTGGTCGGAGTTCCAGAGGGAGAAGAGGGTGCGGACGCCTGTGGATTCCTGGAAAGCTGGATAACGGATGTATTGGAGTTGAATACAACAAGGAGCCCTCTGGTCATTGAGAGAGCACACCGCATTGGCCCAAAAAGAAAGCCTGAGGAACCTCCAAGAACATTAATTATGTGCTTTCTTAACTATAAACAGAAAGATATGGTGATCAGAGCAGCAAGACTGAAAAAAGATATTTTGTACAAGAACAAAAGGGTGAGATTATACGAGGACGTCGCCACAGAGGTGCACAAACTACAGAAGAAGTTTGGGGTAGTACGACAACAACTCTGGAAGATGGGACTGAGGAGTGGCATCATAATACCAGCTAAATTGATAGTAACATACAAGGAAAAAGTCTACAGATTTGACACGCCAGAAGAAGTCCAAGGTTTCATAAAGAAGGTCCAGGAGAACAAGAGATGAGGACGATAATATAAGGTCTAACATTTTGGGGTAATGATTCATTTGGAAAAAGATATAGTTAACTTCATCAAAGTAGAAGGTAATTAAGAATAAAGCGATTTTCTGTTTTTTTTTTTTTTTTTTTTTTATCTGCACAGTTAACTAGATAGGAAGAATGATAATTTTCAATCTTTTATATTATACTACTTTTTTACATTTCATTTTTATTTATTTAGTTATTAATTACGATTATTATTTTTTTAATTATTGAATTTATTCAATTTTGTTTAAAGACAGTGAAAAGTAGTTAATTATTAAGGGGCAGTGGAATATTAGCAAAGCTTAAGGATTCATTAAGGACACAGGGAGCAGGGAAGAGCTAGGCATAATGCCAGTCATTTAAGTTAGCAGATCTTAAAACGGGGATCTGTACATGGTTAAAGTTGGAAGTGGAACATTTGAGTGGGTTACCCAGAAAATGGGTGGGTGGGGTTTTTTGTGTTTTTTCTTAAGTATGGTTTGTTAACTTAAAGTTCGTGTTTTGTGTTCCGTTTTGTTCGTACTCTCAGACGAATTTAAGCATTTAGAAGTGCATGTGAGGTGTGATGACTCGGGAACTGGAAGTTAAATGTACCTCTTGGAATTGTAGAGGCTTAAAAAGTACTAAAAAGATTAAGCAAGTAATGACCAAAATGAAAGATCTGGAAGCTAAAATAATTTTTCTTCAGGAGACGCACTTGCTGGAGGAGGAACATATTAAGGTTGGCAGGAGGTGGCAAGGTTCCTTGTATGCAGCATCATTTAGATCCAATGCTCGGGGAGTAATCACATTAATACATAAATCAGTACCTTTTCAGGTTAAGAATGTAATCAAAGATAAATTTGGTAGGTATTTGATCATCCAGGGATTACTTATACAAGAAACCATTAACTTAATTAATGTATATGGACCAAATACAGATGATGATGCATTTTTACTAATCTTTTTCTCACAATTTCATTACTCCAAGGAAAATGCATCATAGGAGGGGATTGGAATTGTGTACTGGATCCCTCTAAGGATAGACCAACTGGGACTGATCAGGCCCATAACAAAAGCCGAAAAACAATTCTTAACTTCATGAAGGAACTTCAGTTGATTGACATCTGGAGACAGTTAAAACCTGACGATATAATTTTTTCCTGCCATTCAAAAACATTTAATACATATTCCAGAATAGACTATTTTTTAGTATCAGCAAGCCTACTATCAAACATAAGGACATGCTCATATGACAGTATATTACTATCGGACCATGCTCCCTGCAATATCATATATACACATAAAAACTTAATAATGGAGCGTAGATGGTGTTTACACCAGAAATGGCTGAATGATGAAGAATTCCTCACTTTTGTAGAAAAAGAAATAGATGAATATTTTACTATAAATGGTTCACAAACATCAGCTAGTATTAGGTGGGAGGCATTTAAGGCATGTTTACGGGGAGTTATAATTGCATATACTTCATCGAAATCTAAAGAAAAATGTAAAACAAGACAGCAAATGGAAAAGGAAATTAAAACTCTAGAGGAACTAGTATTCAAAAGTAGAGACCCAGTAACAGAGAAAAAATTGCTAATACTAAAAGCACAATACAATAAAGAATCGGCAGATAGAGCGGCTTCGAACATCTTGAGATTAAATCAGTCTTTTTATGAACAAGGAGAAAAACCTGGAAAAATATTGGCATGGCAAATTAAACAATTGGAAGTGCAGAAAAATATAACATCGATTGTAAGCAGCAAAGGGGAAATGATAATAGACCCGATGGAAATAAATAAGGCGTTTAGAAACTATTATGAAAAACTTTATGAATCTCAGGATAGATCAGATCAAACCTCCAGAAATGCGTTTCTGGATAAAATAAATATTTCTACTATTGCAGATGACTTAAAACAACAATTAGATGCAGAAATCACCGAAGGGGAAATAAGCAGGGCAATTAACAGTATGAGTTCAGGTAAAAAAGCGGGACCAGATGGATTTCCAATTGATTTTTATAAAAAATTTAAAAGTAAATTAGTGAAACCATTATTGGAAATGTATCAGGAATCATTACACAAAGGAAGTCTTCCTAAATCAGTAACGGGTTCGCAAATCATTTTGCTACCTAAGCCGGGAAAGCCGAGTAATAAATGTGAAAATTTGAGGCCGATAAGTTTACTCAATTCCGATATTAAGGTGTTAGGTAAAATATTAGCTACACGTTTGCAAGGTACTCTCCCCTCAGTAATTCATAGAGATCAAAATGGCTTTATATTGGGACGCCAAGGTCTGCATAACGTAAGAAGAGTCTTTAACATTATAGACGGAATAAACAATTCGTCAGAGAGCGCCTTACTCTCGCTGGATGCCGAAAAAGCATTCGATAGGGTCGAGTGGCCCTATCTTTTTGATGTTCTGACTAGATTTGGGTATGGAGATGTGTTTCGAAGATGGATACAATTATTACATTCAAATCCAACTGCTGAAATCTTGACAAACAAAAATGTCTCTGAACCAATAAGGGTGAAACGGGGATGTCCACAAGGCTCACCGATAAGTCCATTGTTGTTTGTATTAGCTATGGAACCCTTTGCTATAGCCGTACGTTCGAGTTTATCGGTGACAGGAATTATGGTGAATGAAGTAGAACATAGGATCTCGTTGTACGCTGATGATGTAATAGTATATCTCTCAAAAATAAAGGAATCAATACCTGCTCTGCTTAGATTGATAGGGGAGTTTGGTCAGATATCAGGATATGTCATTAATAAATCTAAATCATCCGTTATGTTGCTAAATGAGGAAGAAAGGGACAACCCACCCACAGTAACATCCCATTTTAAGACAGTAAGGGACTTTATGTATTTAGGGATACGTATTTCGTCTAAACTAAGTGAGATTGTGGAAAATAATTATGAAAGACTTTCTAAAGAAATAACAGAGATAGTGGACAGATGTATATCTCTACCAATTTCTTTAATGGGTCGGATTAATATATACAAAATGAGTATACTGCCAAAGGTGCTTTATGTGTATCAGAACATCCCCTTGCCACCTCCTGTGGATTGGTTTAGCAGGATCAAAAAGCTTGTTCTTGGTTTTTTAT